ATTATTTGATTCTAAGTACCACGTCAATTCATCCTTGAACATGCATTCCATGGTTTTGTAAACGCTGCTAGTCAATTAAACGGGTAGATAATCCGATTAGTATAAATACGTCCAGGCTTAAGTACTGGTTCAACTGTGGCATCATGCCATGAAGAAGGAAACTCACACATATTTCATAAGCAATTAGCAGAAGGGTTTCTAAACATGGTTCTGGTGAATGCTTCAAGAGTTGATGTATATTATTATTATGTAGCAGTATCACGAGCTTGTTCAAGTGCAGTTTGAAGCCCATGTATTGAAAAGATTATCTCCCCCATTGTCTGATTTAAACTGTATAGGTTACGTTTCTTGCCGAGTTTTGGTACTTTTGGAACTTATGGACATAGTTTAAGGAAGGTGAATCTTTAGCGATGGTTTCTCCAATTTTATTGGCAATATCCGATTTATCAGTTAATAGTTCGTCCCCATTCTTAAGATGAAGGATTCTAGATATAGAATCCTTACCTTTAATTTTCTGAATCAGCTGCCACACTGTGGACATGGGTGTATGTGAAGATATTTTTGAAACATAATATTGCCAAGATGGGCGTTTATTTTGTTTAACATTTTAATTTTATTCAAATTATGCACCATTGGATGGCGACGGATATAGTGCTCAGCCTTTTTCCTTGCCTTCCTACTTCTTTGCAGTCATTGTTAAACCATGGATTACAGATGTGAGGATTTGTAGAGGACTTAGGAACACATGCATCAGCTATTTTATTCATTTCATCAGAGAATGCTTGTATTGGATCAGAACGTCAATAAAAAGAACAGGTGTTAATTTGTTTGATGGGCGTATTTGAAATAATGGCCAGTTAGCTTTGGAAAAGTGGCATCTTGTTGAATGAGGCTCGTCAGATGGGGTAACAGGTTTTAATATCATCAGGAAATGGTCACTTCCACAGAGGTCATGTGGACCGACCATCCGAATTCGTTAAGAAGAATCATAGTCTGCAAGAGATAAATCAAGATATGAGTAGGCACCTGTTCCAGGAAGTAAATAGGTTTTAGAATTATCATTACAAATACATAAATAGTTGTAAGAAATTAAATCTTCTAATATCTCCCATTTACTGTTTGAATTGGCACTACTCCAAAGCCCATTAAAGTCGCGCAATTTGTTTGAAATTAAATCTTCTAATATCTCCCATTTACTGTTTGAATTGGCACTACCCCAAAGCCCATTAAAGTCGCGCACAATTCCACACCGATGTTAAAATAGCTTTTTGAGAGACTTTGGAAGTTTTGCAGATCAAAGGGGAACAAGTAAGTGTTTGGTTTTTCTATTTCTGTCATTTCGTTTTTGGGTAATAGAATTCAACATTCTATCCCCATCCGCCATCGAGTGTCATCAAGGACGATGTTGCAGCAGAAAGCCAACCTGCAACACCAGGTCTACAAAAGTGTAATACAGACATGAAAGACCATAATATTTTAAAGAAGACGTGCCAGACTGGTTCGGCCCATGAGGGCTATATAAACAGATTGGCATAGGACTCTAGGCAATATAATAACATCAACATATTTCATAACTGAAAATGTTTTGAACTTCAAATGTCCATGCACAGGACATGGCGTGACCAGCCGATTGATAGAATCGGGGCCATTCTACAACCCGTCCAGGTGAAGTAGGGGGCACGGGTGGCCCAGTCGTCTAAGGCGCCGCGATTCGCTGTGCAGAGTTGTTTCCCTTTGGCACGCCAGAAACCTATGATTGTGGGTTCGAATCCCGGTTCGCCGCGATTATGTTTCTAGGTTTGTCAGCACCATACCCGTGCTTGTGGGTTTCACCGAGGTGGTAAACGTCTAAGACCTGCATCACTTCGGGCTTGCCTCCCACATTAAGCTGACACGCCGCGATATAACTGGAATACTGTTAAAAGCGGCGTTAAACCCAACTCACTCACTCACCAGTGCCCATAACCACAAGAATCCCGTCCTCCACCAACACGGGGGCGCAACCCACGGCAAACAGGTTGCCCAATTCGGTCGCCTCAACCGACAAGCAATGGGGTTCTGGGGACACATTCTACGCCATGTCCCCAGGGGGTGGAGGGTTGGGGGAGGGGTCTAAATATGAATCACACGGGTTCTCACTGGTTTCCCTTCATTTCTAGTTAAGCTAGGTACGTCAGTGGAAGGGAATTGGCTTTTAGATGAACGTTTTCAAATTATGGATATGCCTGAAGCTTAAGTTAAACTTGTTGGCCAAATTACTTTGTTTTGACTTTGCCAATCCGAGCAGATTCATTTGCACAAGATACAGATCAGCATAAAGGGGAGCACAATTGGTGCCCATGGGGATTCCTACTTCTTGCTTAAATGGACCCGTGAAGATCCTGGGTAGAATAGGTCTTCAGCAACCCATGCTTGCCGCAAAAGGCGACTATGCTTGTCGTAAAAGGCGACTAACGGGATCGGGTGGTCAGGCTCGCTGACTTGGTTGATGCATGTCATCGATCCCAATTGCATGGATCGATGCTCATGATATCAATCACTGGATTGTCTGGTCCAGATTCGATTATTTACAGACTGCCGTCATATAGCTGGAATATTGCTGAGTGCGGCGTTAAACAACAATCAATCAATCAATCTTGCTTAAATGTCTTTCCCCCAACACTTTACATAGATGTTATCAGTAGTGAGGTCCAGCATTACAAATTTGCACACACAAACCCATTGCTGTTTTGTTACAGTGCACTTTTCTACAATGGTTGTTGCTCAATCGACACCCAGGAAACAATTTACCAAAATAGTCTTTCTCGTGATAAAAAACACGGGTCCCGCCGTATATCACATCCACGGGTAACTGTAGAGTTACAGATTCTGGACAAGGTTGTATCTCAAATTTAGTCAAACACCGTTGTGTTGAAGTTGAAGGACCTCCAAAAATACTTTGAGTAATCCGAGCTTCGACAGACACAATCGATAAATATACTTGGCATACATTTACCAATTTACAGGAGGAATGAATAACAAGAAACATATGCGGCAAACAAATAACGAAAAATTAAAATACATGTCCAACATTACTCTTATGAACATACACGTGAGAAATAAAAAAAGCTCACATTTTCCACCTCCGCATTGTGGGCTTATATAAAACTTAACATAAGATTGAGCGAAATCGGAATTATATCATCTGAGTCATTTGAGTGAATTGAATAATGTCCGACGTGTGTTGGTGATTGACGTCTGGCGTGAATGGACGTCAGGCAGCAGCTGCCCCTTCCACAACATCGTCATCGGATACAGGACTGCAGGTAAATAACCTGTCGTCAGCGCTGGCAAAGTCGGCAAGGGTGATGATGACGCTGATGAGATGAGAGAGCGGGAGGTTCATCTTCAAGGTCATCTTAGGGGTCATCAGCGGTGATGTGGAACCCAGCATGATTGAAACAGTTACGAGTTCTCCCGAAGGCCTTCCTAAAGGGAAATTAGAACGAACGAGAACGACGACCGAACAAGATTTTGTTTGAATGTTTGTTGTTTAACGCCGTACTCAGCAATATTCAAACTATATGACAGCGGTCTGTAAATAATCGCGTCTGTACCGGAAAATCCAGTGCTGGAAATCATGAGCATCGATCTACGCAATAATGATATGATGAAATTACATCAACTAAGTCAGCTAGCCTGACCACCAAATCCCTTTTTCGCCTCTTACGACAAGCATAGTTGTTTCTTACGGCAATGACATTTACCAGCAATAAAGTCTATTTTTCATCAGGCGACAGTCTGTAAAACAATCCCTTCTCATTGTATTGTAAACTAAGTCATCAGTCTGCGTGTTTTGGGCATTCTTCTCACCGCAGACCGCCTCCGTGGTCTAATGGTAGAGCGTCCGCCCGGAGAGCGGAAGGTCCGGGGTTTCATCCCCGGCCGCGTCATACCAAAAGACGTTAAAAGATGGTACTTGTTGTTACCTTGTCTGGCGCTCGACATTAAGGGGTTAAAGCAAGGACTGGTCGGCTCGGAGTCAGTATACTGTGTCTGAGTGGGATATTCATGTTAAACTGGGGCATGGTATCTCACTGGGCTAGCACTATAAGTCGGCATCTGTCCGGTCTAGTACAAGCAGCCACACACACACACACGCACACATGCATGCACGTCGCTATATAAGTGCAATAATCTTGGACGCGACGTTAAACCCAATTTCACCTCACCTCCTCACCGCAAACGCGTTTGAAGACAAGTTCATGTCAAGCATTAAATCGATATAACCAGCCAGTGGTGCTTGTGAAGTCTCACCTGGCTACCTCTTCTGCTTTGGCCATGATCATACCCCCGGAGATAGGAATAGTGAAGGCCCTTATCACATTAAAATATTTAAGCGGTACGCATTCTCTTATGAAACGGAGAGAATGACGATTGAAGAAAATCCTCCTTAATCGTTGCCGACTTTTTAATCCAGGTTGACAGTGTGTTTAGAGGGATACCCAAGTCTTTGGCAATTTGCGATTTAGTTTTGGAACCATGCTCAACTGTCGGCACTGCTTCAAAACCTCGTCTCAACCGATCTTATTTGAGAACGATGACATTTCCATTTCCATTTCCAAGTCTAAATATGGTATATACTAGCAAGCTGTGTAATAAAGCGAATTTCTATGTGTAGTTAGGATAGGATAGGATAGGATAGGTTTTATTCCATACTGAAAGGCCTCAGGCCCATAGTACAATTCTGTTTTCGGGAGTGGTTACAGGTCCGTTTAAGAGGTCATATTGTAATAAACATAGCATGATAAATGTACATTGATAGATTTTTTAGAGTATCTTTATCAGTTGTTGACATGATTGTTGTAAATTTTTGTAGTTGTAAACACCTTCCAATTTGTACAAGCAAAGAATACCATACATTGCACGTGCACCATTCCATGCTATCAGCTACTGAAGACATGCTATAGATATATGATATGCTTAAAACAGGATACCGTGTCTGGTTGGAACAGTATATACAAGCTGGCTCTATGTGTGCGTTTTATTGATCGAGAAGAACCGTGTCGGCAGATTGTCGTCAAGGCATAGCATCATTATACATATGTAGCACCCGGCGAGAGGCTTCACTGGCTGCGTGAGCGAATGGTGAAGATGGAGATACTCCCTGTTGTGCTCATCTTTATTCTGGGAGCTGAAAATCTGCGTGATGTGGGTGAGTCTGAAACTTATATTTTCAGTGCCGTTAATTTGAAAACTTATAACGTTTTGCAAACAGATCCAAAATCTGAACGTTATAAAACGTTATAAGGGAAAGGTATAATGGGTTTATGAATATTTAGCCGAGGGTGAGTGAGTGAGTTTTGTTTTACGCCGCTTTCAGCAATATTCCAGCAATATCACGGCGGGGGACACCAGAAATGGGATTCACACATTGTACCCATGTCGGGAATCGAACCCGGGTCTTCGGCGTGACGAGCAAACGCTTTAACCACAAGGCTACCCGACCGCCCTCTAGCCGAGGGTGAAAGAAAATAGATTGTGAATGTCGTTGTGATGTATTGTGAATTTGATGACATTGAGCCAGTATATTTAGATGTATGGGCGATGGTTAAGATGGAGACGGTGATGGAAAGGTTGCTTTAAGACTCACGACGGCCAAACTGGCACTGGGTTTGAATGGAGATCTGGTGACAGACTCACTGATATTCGGGATGTGGATGGAAGATGGATCTCAGGTTAATTTTGGGATTGATTGAGTAAATGTTGTGCCATGCCTCCGTCAGCAGTATTCCAGTGACAGCACGTTCGAGGTTATATATATTCAACATTGGGCTAGGTTAACCAGAGTAAGAAAACGTAAGATCGGCGCCATTGATGTAAGGGGGAGCGCCATAAAACCATCCGATGAAATTTAGTCGCGTCTTGTCACCAGCAATACCATTTATTCAGTATGGACCAAAAGCCAAAAAAATCATACAATTGACAACAGCGTAAACTGACTCATACATGTACATTTTAAGAAACAAAAGCCTCCGCTGACTTTGTATTCCTCCATTTATAATATTTATCTTCATAACTGTTAATATGTATTCTTTCTACCTAGCCGTCGTTTTTACTCAATGTGACATTAAAAAACTGTGATCTGAAAATGCTGTTTTACTGCTTACATCAAACTTGGTATCATAGAAAACATGTCTCCATGTCTACTTAGAAGCATATTTATCTGTCCTTGATTTGCATGCGCTGAGCGGCAGATTTTTATAACTTCCGCACGTACGCGCTTCAGTCGCTTACAACAAAGTGGCTTATTGTCACCGAGAAGCGCAGATATAACTCTTCAATCAAGCATTGTTATCGTTTACAAAAGTATATACATGCCATCTTCTTTTCATGAATATTTATCTTCTTTTACAGATATTGTCTTTCAACTAATTCACAGAAATATGGCTTTCTAATGGCAAATCTAATGTGTTTAAATGGTTTAATGTATAATTGATGGAAATGTATATAATACCTTTTAGGCGTTGTGATACGAGCATTTTAAACAGATAGGCTTCATTTAAATATTTTATGCTTTCGTATGAGGAAAGGTATTATGTTATACTGGATATACTAGTCTCTGGCTGTGAAGTGAGTGTGTAATTAAACTTTAAGGTCGCCTCGGCATTATTTCAGCTAGATAGCGGCTGTCTACATTTCTATATATTTAACCTGTTTGTAATATAGCTGTACCTAATTTTAGACTTTAATAAACTATCCCTGTTTGTCTGCCAAAACTACAGCTTAAAACAATACAATGGTTCAGTATACAGTTAATCCCTTGCCACTGCCACTCAATAAATTTAATTTTCATGTATTTTGGGTTTTTACAAGATAATTGATGCACAGACACACATTACCGTTCCAACTTGTAAATGCCTCTCAAAGACGTGAACATGTTTGCTGAGATGCTACTGTCCAGTAATACGTCCTCCGCTTCTCTCCTGATCGACCCGTGCTTGCCGTGAAGATCAGGGGTAGAACAGGTCTTCAGCAACCCATGCTTGCCGTAAAGATCAGGGGTAGAATAGGTCTTCAGCAACCCATGCTTGCCGTGAAGATCAGGGGTAGAATAGGTCTTCAGCAACCCATGCTTTCCGTGAAGATCAGGGGTAGAATAGGTCTTTAGCAACCCATGCTTGCCGTGAAGATCAGGGGTAGAATAGGTCTTTAGCAACCCATGCTTGCCGTGAAGATCAGGGGTAGAATAGGTCTTCAGCAACCCATGCTTGCCGTGAAGATCAGGGGTAGAATAGGTCTTTAGCAACCCATGCTTGCCGTGAAGATCAGGGGTAGAATAGGTCTTCAGCAACCCATGCTTGCCGTGAAGATCAGGGGTAGAATAGGTCTTCAGCAACCCATGCTTGCCGTGAAGATCAGGGGTAGAATAGGTCTTCAGCAACCCATGCCTGCTGTGAAGATCAGGGGTAAAATAGGTCTTCAGCAACCCATGCTTGCCGTGAAGATCAGGGGTAGAATAGGTCTTCAGCAACCCATGCTTGCCGTGAAGATCAGGGGTAGAATAGGTCTTTAGCAACCCATGCTTGCCGTGAAGATCAGGGGTAGAATAGGTCTTCAGCAACCCATGCCTGCTGTGAAGATCAGGGGTAGAATAGGTCTTCAGCAACCCATGCTTGCCGTGAAGATCAGGGGTAGAATAGGTCTTCAGCAACCCATGCTTGCCGTGAAGATCAGGGGTAGAATAGGTCTTTAGCAACCCATGCTTGCCGTGAAGATCAGGGGTAGAATAGGTCTTCAGCAACCCATGCTTGCCGTGAAGATCAGGGGTAGAATAGGTCTTCAGCAACCCATTCTTGCCGTGAAGATCAGGGGTAGAATAGGTCTTTAGCAACCCATGCTTGCCGTGAAGATCAGGGGTAGAATAGGTCTTCAGCAACCCATGCTTGCCGTGAAGATCAGGGGTAGAATAGGTCTTTAGCAACCCATGCTTGCCGTGAAGATCAGGGATAGAATAGGTCTTCGGCAACCCATGCTTGCCGTGAAGATCAGGGATAGAATAGGTCTTCGGCAATCCATGCTTGCCGTGAAGATCAGGGGTAGAATAGGTCTTCAGCAATCCATGCTTGTCGTGAAGATCAGGGGTAGAATATGTCTTCAGCAACCCATGCTTGCCACAAAAGGCGACTGTGCCTGTCGTAAGATGCGACTAACGGGATCGGGTGGTCAGACTCGCTATATTTTTCATACATGTCATCATATCCCAATTGTGTGGATCGATGGTCACGATGCCAATCACTGGATTGTCTGGTCGATAATTTACAGACCGCCGTCATATAGCTGGAATACTGTTTAGTTCGGCGTTAAACAACAAGCAAACAAAACTAAACAAATTCATTTCTAATCCCTTCTCTTGTGCAGTTCGTGTGACACCACTTCTTATTGCATACAGTGATTACATATTTTTGTCCGAGATCTAATGCAAAGGAAGTAGGTATAGCTAAATTACCTGCAATTAAACCAACTATCGGTTACACCTACCTGGGTTGATAGTTCAGTTATTAAATCTATATTCGACAATTTTCAAAGCGTAGTCTGGAATGGTAGTCAACCTCAAATACATTCACATGGCCGACCTACAACCAACCTCACACACATAAACAAAGCCGAATACAACCAACCTCACATACATTCACATGGCAGAACACAACCAACCTCACACACATAAACGTGGCCGAACACAACCAACCTCACATACATTCACATGGCAGAACACAACCACTTTCACATACATTCACATGGCCGACCTACAACCAACCTCACACACATAAACAAAGCCGAATACAACCTCCCTCACTGACATAAACGTGGCCGAACACAACCAACCTCACACACATAAACATGGCCGAACACAACCACCCCACACACATAAACGTGGCCGAACACAACCAACCTCACAGACCTAACCCTGGCCGAACACATCCAACCTTACAGACATACACGTGGCCGAACACAACCAACCTCATACACATGAACATGGGTGAACACAACCACCTGACACACATAAACGTGGCAGAACACAGCCAACCTAACACACATAAACATGGCCGAACACAGCCAACCTCACACACATGAACATGGGTGAACACAACCACCTGACACACATAAACGTGGCAGAACACAGCCAACCTAACACACATAAACATGGCCGAACACAGCCAACCTCACACACATGAACATGGGTGAACACAACCACCTGACACACATAAACGTGGCCGAACATAACCAACCTAACACACATAAACATGGCCGAACACAACCAACCTTACATACATCAACGTTGCCGAACACAACAAACCTAACATACATAAACGTGGCCGAACACAACAAACATTACATACATAAACGTGGCCGAACTCAACAAACCTTACAAACATAAACATGGCCGAACACAACCAACCTTACATACGTAAACGTGGCCGAACACAACCAACCTTACATACATAAACATAGCCGAACACAACCAACCTTACATACATAAACGTGGCCGAACACAACCAACCTTACATTCATTCACATGGCCCAATACAGCCAGCCTCACTGACAAAAACGTGGCCGAACACAACCACCTAACACATATAAACATGGCCGAACACAATCAACCTCACACACATAAACGTGGCCGAACACAACCAACCTCACAGACCTAACCCTGGCCGAACACATCCAACCTTACATACATAAACGTGGCCGAACACAACCAACCTTACATACATAAACGTGGCCGAACACAACAAACCTTACATACATAAACGTGGCCGAACACAGCAAACATTACATACATAAACATGGCCGAACACAACCAACCTTACATACATAAACGTGGCCGAACACAACAAACCTTACATACATAAACGTGGCCGAACACAACAAACCTTACATACATAAACGTGGCCGAACACAACCAACCTTACATTCATTCACATGGCCCAATACAGCCAGCCTCACTGACAAAAACGTGGCCGAACACAACCACCTAACACATATAAACATGGCCGAACACAATCAACCTCACACACATAAACGTGGCCGAACACAACCAACCTCACAGACCTAACCCTGGCCGAACACATCCAACTTTACATACATAAACGTGGCCGAACACAACCAACCTTACATACATAAACGTTGCCGAACACAACAAACCTTACATACATAAACGTGGCCGAACACAACAAACCTTACAAACATAAACGTGGCAGAACACAACCAACCTTACATACATAAACGTGGCCGAACACAACCAACCTTACATTCATTCACATGGCCGAATACAGCCAGCCTCACTGACAAAAACGTGGCCGAACACAACCACCTAACACATATAAACATGGCCGAACACAATCAACCTCACACACATAAACGTGGCCGAACACAACCAACCTCACAGACCTAACCCTGGCCGAACACATCCAACCTTATATACATAAACGTGGCCGAACACAACAAACCTTACATACATAAACATGGCCGCACACAACAAACCTTACATACATAAACGTGGCCGAACACAACCAACCTTACATACATAAACGTGGCCGAACACAACAAACCTTACATACATAAACATGGCCGAACGCAACAAACCTTACATACATAAACGTGGCCGAACACAACCAACCTTACATACATAAACGTGAAAGAACACAACCAACCTTACATACATAAACGTGACAGAACACAACCAACCTTACATACATAAACGTGGCCGAACACAACAAACCTTACATACATAAACGTGGCCGAACACAACAAACCTTACATACATAAACATGGCCGAACACAACAAACCTTACATACATAAACGTGGCCGAACACTACCAACCTTACATACATCAACGTGGCCGAACACAACAAACCTTACATACATAAACGTGGCCGAACAGAACCAACCTTACACACATAAACATGGCCGAACACAACAAACCTTACATACACAAACGTGGCCGAACACAACCAACCTTACATACATAAACGTTGCCGAACACAACAAACCTTACATACATAAACGTGGCCGAACACAACCTGGGTTGATAGTTCAGTTATTAAATTTATATGCGACATTTTTCAAAGCGTAGTCTAGAATGGTAGTCAACCTCAAATACATTCACATGGCCGAACACAACCAACCTCACATACATTCACATGGCCGAACACAACCAACCTCACACACATAAACGTGGCCGAACACAGCCAACCTCTCACACATAAACGTGGCCGAACACAACCAACCTCACATACATTCACATGGCCGAACACAACCAACCTCATACACATAAACGTGGCCGAACACAACCAACCTTACTTGCATTCACATGGCCGAATACAACCAACCTAACTGACAAAAACGTGGCCGAACACAACCAACTCACACATATAAACATGGCAGAACACAACCTGGGTTGATAGTTCAGTTATTAAATTTATATTCGACATTTTTCAAAGCCTAGTCTGGAATGGTAGTCAACCTCCAATACATTCACATGGCCGACCTACAACCAACCTCACACACATAAACGTGGCCGAACACAACCAACCTCGCACACATAAACGTGGCCGAACACAACCAACCTCACATACATTCACATGGCCAAACACAACCAACCTCACACACATAAACGTGGCCGAACACAACCAACCTCACACACATAAACGTGGCCGAACCCAACCAACCTCACATACATTCACATGGCCGAACACAACGAACCTCACACACATAAACGTGGCCGAACACAACAAACCTCACATACATTCACATGGCAGAACACAACCAACCTCACACACATAAACGTGGCAGAACACAACCAACCTCACACACATAAACATGGCAGAACACAACCAACCTCACACACATAAACGTGGCCGAACACAACCAACCTTACATTCATTCACATGGAAGAACACAACCAACCTCACACACATAAACGTGGCAGAACACAACCAACCTCACACACATAAACGTGGCCGAACACAACCAACCTTACATTCATTCACATGGCAGAACACAACCAACCTCACACACAAACGTGGCCGAACACAACCAACCTTACTGACAAAAACGTGGCCGAACACAACCATCTCCCACATATAAACATGGCAGAACACAACCTGGGTTGATAGTTCAGTTATTAAATTTATATTCGACATTTTTCAAAGCGTAGTCTGGAATGGTAGTCAACCTCAAATACATTCAGATGGCCGACCTACAACCAACCTCACACACATAAACAAAGCCGAATACAACCTCCCTCACTGACATAAACGTGGCCGAACACAACCAACCTCACACACATAAACGTGGCAGAACACAACCAACCTCACACACATAAACGTGGCCGAACACAACCAACCTCACATACATTCACATGGCCGAACACAACCAACCTCACACACATAAACGTGGCCGAACACAACAAACCTCACATACATTCACATGGCAGAACACAACCAACCTCACACACATAAACGTGGCAGAACACAACCAACCTCACACACATAAACATGGCAGAACACAACCAACCTTACACACATAAACGTGGCCGAACACAACCAACCTTACATTCATTCACATGGCAGAACACAACCAACCTCACACACATAAACGTGGCAGAACACAACCAACCTCACACACATAAACGTGGCCGAACACAACCAACCTTACATTCATTCACATGGCAGAACACAACCAACCTCACACACAAACGTGGCCGAACACAACCAACCTTACTGACAAAAACGTGGCCGAACACAACCATCTCACACATATAATCATGGCAGAACACAACCTGGGTTGATAGGTCAGTTATTAAATTTATATTCGACATTTTTCAAAGCGTAGTCTGGAATGGTAGTCAACCTCAAATACATTCAGATGGCCGACCTACAACCAACCTCACACACATAAACAAAGCCGAATACAACCTCCCTCACTGACATAAACGTGGCCGAACACAACCAACCTCACACACATAAACGTGGCAGAACACAACCAACCTCACACACATAAACGTGGCCGAACACAACCAACCTCACATACATTCACATGGCCGAACACAACCAACCTCACACACATAAACGTGGCCGAACACAACCAGCCTCACATACATTCACATGGCCGAACACAACCAACCTTACATACATAAACGTGGCCGAACACAACCAACCTTACATACATAAACGTGGCAGAACGCAACCACTTTCACATACATTCACATGGCCGAACACAACCAACCTTACATACATAAACGTGGCGGAACACAACCAACCTTACATACATAAACGTGGCCGAACACAACCAACCTTACATACATAAACGTGGCAGAACACAACCAACCTTACATACATAAACGTGGCAGAACACAACCACTTTCACATACATTCACATGGCCGAACACAACAAACCTTACATACATAAACGTGGCCGAACACAACCAACCTTACATCCATTCAAATGGCAGAACACAACCAACCTCACTGACATAAACGTGGCCGAACACAACCACCTCACACACAGAAACACACCAGCATGCCAGAGATAAAAAGCAAAATCATAGCCTCCATAGCCGAAATAATGCAAGCCCAATGGGACGCAAGTAAGATCGGCAGATGGCCATACAAAATTCAACTCTACATCCTCAAAATGCCACAGTCATACAATGAAGGCGACGTCGTGAACACTTAAAATAACAACAACATGATGGACAAGCTTTTGTTTGTTTGTTGTTTATCGCCGCACAATATTCCAGCTATTTGAATGCAGTCTTCATATAATCGAGTCTTTACCAGACAATCCAGTGATTGACTCCATGATCATCGATCCACGTAATAGGGATACGATGACATGCATCAACCAAGTCAGCGAACCTGAGCACCAGAACCCGTTAGTCGCTTCTTACGACAAGCATCGTTGCAGGGGTTCCTGAAGATCTATTCCAACCCGGATCCTAACTGGCATGATGGAAATGCATTGTTCACAGGCATGGATAACAAGCAGAATTTGTAAAGTCAGAAAGGGGTGTTATCACGGTTAATTTTCAGGGGTGTGGGTGCACCGGTGGTAATTTTCCTAGGTGGTAATTTCCGGGTGGCAATTGTCCTGCTAACGGATGGTAGATACCTTATTGAAAAAGCGGCACAACTTTCATCTTTGATGATGACGATAAACTGGTTTTAGGTATATTTCATATTTTCTTTTACCATGGCTGTCATTACAGATGCAAGCGTATCCGTGCATACACCAAGCCAGCAAAGTTACCTGCCCCTCGCCCCACTAGGTGTCACTGTGTATATGCGAACTTCTGTCCGGTTTAACCTCACCGCCGCCAACGATGCCCATATTGGGCTGTACACTCCAGACAATGGAGCTGTTCCCCAGGACATGTACGAAATTGTGATTGGCGGTTGGGGAAACACCAAGTCTGTCATTAGGATACGTCAGCAAGGGTCAATTAAAGATTCCAAAAACCACACACCGCTGGATTCTTCAAGAGCCAAACCCTTCTGGGTCAGCTGGTCATCAGGGGTCATTAAAGTCGGAACTGGAACCGAGGTTGGAGTTAGCACTTTCATGCAGCTCGCAGATACCACTCATCACGTGACATCTATTGCAGTGACAACAGGTTGGGGCTCCACGGGAGACTGGGTGTTTGGTAGGTAGTTGTGATATCAAGTAGAGATAGCCTGTGTGTGTTACGGTAGGAGACTGGGTGTTTGGTAGGTAGTTGTGATATCAAGTAGAGATAGCCTGGGTGTGTAACAGTAGGAGACTGGGTGTTTGGTAGGTAGTTGTGATATCAAGTAGAGATAGCCTGAGTGTGTTACAGTAGGAGACTGGGTGTTTTGTAGGTAGTTGTGATATCAAGTAGAGATAGCCTGTGTGTGTTACGGTAGGAGACTGGGTGTTTGGTAGGTAGTTGTGACATCAAGTAGAGATAGCCTGAGTGTGTTACAGTAGGAGACTGGATGTTTGGTAGGTAGTTATGATATCAAGTAGAGATAGCCTGTGTGTGTTACAGTAGGAGACTGGGTGTTTGGTAGGTAGTTGTGATATCAAGTAGAGATAGCCTGTGTGTGTTACAGTAGGAGACTGGGTGTTTTGTAGGGAGTTGTGATATCACGTAGAGATAGCCTGGGTGTGTTACAGTAGGAGACTGGATGTTTGGTAGGTAGTTGTGACATCAAGTAGAGATAGCCTGGGTGTGTTACGGTAGGAGACTGGGTGTTTGGTAGGTAGTTGTGACATCAAGTAGAGATAGCCTGGGTGTGCTACAGTAGGAGACTGGGTGTTTTGTAGGTAGTCGTGATATCAAGTAGAGATAGCCTGGGTGTGTGACAGTAGGAGACTGGGTGTTTGGTAGGTAGTTGTAATATCAAGTAGAGATAGCCTGGGTGTGTTACAGTAGGAGACTGGATGTTTGGTAGGTAGTTGTGATATCAAGTAGAGATAGCCTGGGTGTGTTACAGTAGGAGACTGGGTGTTTGGTAGGTAGTTGTGACATCAAGTAGAGATAGCCTGGGTGTGCTACAGTAGGAGACTGGATGTTGGGTAGGTAGTTGTGACATCAAGTAGAGATAGCCTGGGTGTGTTACGGTAGGAGACTGGATGTTGGGTAGGTAGTTGTGATATCAAGTAGAGATAGCCTGGGTGTGCTACAGTAGGAGACTGGATGTTGGGTAGGTAGTTGTGATATCAAGTAGAGATAGCCTGGGTGTGTTACGGTAGGAGACTGGATGTTGGGTAGGTAGTTGTGATATCAAGTAGAGATAGCCTGTGTGTGTTACAGTAGGAGACTGGATGTTTGGTAGGTAGTTGTGATATCACGTAGAGATAGCCTGGGTGTGTGACAGTAGGAGACTGGGTGTTTGGTAGATAGTTGTGATATCAAGTAGAGATAGCCTGTGTGTGTTACAGTAGGACACTGGGTGTTTGGTAGTTAGTTGTGATATCAAGTAGAGATAGCCTGTGTGTGTTACAGTAGGAGACTTGGTGTTTGGTAGATAGTTGTGATATCAAGTAGAGATAGCCTGGGTGTGTTACAGTAGGAGATTGGATGTTTGGTAGGTAGTTGTGATATCAAGTAGAGATAGCCTGGGTGTGTTACAGTAGGAGACTGGATGTTTGGTAGGTAGTTGTGATATCAAGTAGAGATAGCCTGGGTGTGTTACGGTAGGAGACTGGATGTTGGGTAGGTAGTTGTGATATCAAGTAGAGATAGCCTGGGTGTGTGACAGTAGGAGACTGGATGTTTGGTAGGTAGTTGTGATATCACGTAGAGATAGCCTGGGTGTGTGACAGTAGGAGACTGGGTGTTTGGTAGATAGTTGTGATATCAAGTAGAGATAGCCTGTGTGGGTGACAGTCTACGGGAGATTGGATGTTTGGTAGATAGTTGTGATATCAAGTAGAGATAGTCTGGGTGTGTGACAGTAGGAGACTGGGTGTTTGGTAGGGAGTTGTGATATCAAGTAGAGATAGCCTGGGTGGGTGACAGTCTACAGGAGATTGGGTGTTTGGTAGATAGTCGTGATATCAAGTAGAGATAGCCTGGGTGTGTGACAGTTGGAGATTGGGTGTTTGGTAGGGAGTTGTGATATCAAGTAGAGATAGCCTGTGTGGGTGACAGTCTACATGAGACTGGGTGTTTGGTAGGGAGTTGTGATATCAAGTAGAGATAGCCTGGGTGTGTGACAGTAGGAGACTGGGTGTTTGGTAGGGAGTTGTGATATCAAGTAGAGATAGCCTGTGTGGGTGACAGTCTACAGGAGATTGGGTGTTTGGTAGATAGTTGTGATATCAAGTAGAGATAGCCTGGGTGTGTGACAGTCTACATGAGACTGGGTGTTTGGTAGGGAGTTGTGATATCAAGTAGAGATAGCCTGTGTGGGTGTCAGTCTACAGGAGATATGGTGTTTGGTAGATAGTTGTGATATCAAGTAGAGATAGCCTGGGTTGGGTGACAGTCTACAGGATATTGGATGTTTGGTAGATAGTTGTGATATCAAGTAGAGATAGCCTGGGTGGGTGACAGTAGGAGACTGGGTGTTTGGTAGGGAGTTGTGATATCAAGTAGAGATAGCCTGTGTGGTTGACAGTCTTCAGGAGATTGGGTGTTTGGTAAGTAGTTATGATATCACGTTGAGATAGCCTTGGTGTGATCAATCTACGGGAGACTGGGTGTTTGGTAGGCAGTTGTGATATCAAGTAGAGATAGCCTGGGTGTGTGACAGTCTACAGGAGACTGGATGTTTGGTAGGCAGTTGTGATATGGGTGTTTTGCGTTCGTCTCCTAATGCCTTAAAGGTTGTGTTTCAGTTATTTATATTGTTCTCTTTTACAGAGGAGGAGCATTTCAGTTCCAGTCTCTTGCCGTCGTCGACCATTCAGAGGCTGAACACCATGCTCGATAGCAGTTATTTGGAAGATACAATATCAAGTGACTACACATCACAAACATCGCCACTGACCGTCAACTCCACGACTGAAATCCAATTTCCTTTGCCATCTGAAGTATCATCCTCGCTACTCCATACATTGACTTTTGTGGATACATACAAGTTTCTCACAGTTACCTCTTTTTCGTCGTCATTTGGAGTGCCATCCCTTGTTTCAACTGCGAATGGAATTACCTCCCTTATTTCATCGCTTGAAGATATCTCCCCGACATCATCTCTACCCGGAGTAACCTCCCTTGTCTCAACACATATGACATTGAATGAAACAGCCTCCATTTTACAAACAACGATGGGAGTAGCCCTTCCTTCCATGGACACCACGTCCTCTGGGACACCATCCAACAGCAGTAACCTCTGTAGATGCCGATGTCGATCTTCATTGAGTCTTTCATCCGAGGAATTCAAAGACGTTGTGAATGCAATCGTCAAAGAACTGTCTATTCCCAAATACAACTTATCCTCCTCGTTAAGGAAGAGGAAGACCATGTCGGATGGACGACCCTCGTCTGTGGGCATTGGGTCAGGTGCTATCTTTCTGGTCATGATTCCAGTTGCAATAGTGGTTTTGTTAGACTTACATAACTTGTTTAGTTGCTTAATGACAAAGCGTTAACATATTGTTGTATTATATTATTGCAACAGTTTACTTGGATGCAAGGCCTTGTCCCAGTGCTCCCTCAATGATTTGTCTATTCTTGGTATTGCTGACCATCCTGTGGCTTTCGCACACTCACATAGAGTGGACTTTAGTTGGTGCGTCTGCGATTCTTTGTTGGGTTCTGTGCCTCCCCCTGGGACAGGGGCGGTCGGGTAGCCTAGTGGTTAAAGCGTTAGCTCGTCACGCCGAAGACCCGGGTTCGAAAAGCGGCGTAAAACCTCACTCACTCACTCCCCCTGGGACATGTCCCGTCGTCAGTTTGGTTGGTTTCTTACCGGAGGGAAGCTTACCTGGCTACGGAGTTAAAACATATTTTTCTTCAATGTGTTCTGTAAACCAGTTGTAAGCAGAAAAAAGATACATTCATGTGATTTGTAAAGAAAGCAGTCCGTGTAAATTCCGTGTAAATTATTTTTTTGCAAAGTCCAGGTCCGTTATCTTTCGTTCCACTTCAATTTTTCAACTTCGTATAACACCAAGCCTCTATCTCATCTCACAACTTGCATGGCGGCACGGCATAATTTCGCTAATACACCCACCCACCCACCTCTCCCAGTAGCGTTACTGGTTAACTGGTTCGGTTATTGCCTTATATCACATATGGATTACTGTAAAGTTATATATTGACCTATTTTCTGGCATACACGTTATGCAATTACGAATTCCATGCTATATTTTGCCAAGCAGTTGCTAAAATGTCTTAAGCAGTTGCTAAATTATGTCAAGCAGTTACTAAAATTTGCTTAGCAAAATATAGCATGGATTGTCATCACATAATTCGTATAAACTTATGATCCCCATGAATGCTTTCTTAGGGTATAGGTCTGGCCCGGGTTGGGGTGCGACAGAACCCTCTTTGTCTATGCTACTACACGCTATTACTTCCGGTTTGACGCTCGAGGTTTGTTAGGTGGAGTTCCTTTCATTCTATATTGTGCATGTTTATAGATTCTATGAGATTGTGGTGTGATTGTGTGACTGAGTGGGGCAGTTCGCTTGATAAACATGACTAATTATAGAAACCCTAGGAAATGCTATGATATGTTAAAACTCTACGACAGTACTGGAAAACGAAATTGGGTAACAAACGTAAAAGAATTATTATTTATTACGGGTTTTAATTATGTGAGGTATAAATCAGTGTGTAGAACCAGAACCGCTCTTTTTAATGTCCTTCACCCAGAGACTAAAAGATATGTATTTGCAGAAATGGTAAGAATTAATGTCCAAATCAAATAAATGTTTATATTAAAGAATCATGAAAAGTAATATTGAAATTGAGGCGTACCTCTGTAAACTTGAGTTTAATTTTTTTTAGAATTGCACTAGCACGATTTAGATGTTCCTCTCACAACCTGTATATAGAGACTGGTAGATATAATCACACTGATAGAAGAGACAGAATATGCACATTGTGTAACACAAATTCAACTGAAGATGAGTTTCACTTTCTCCTGGTATGTCAAGCTTACAAACATTTACGTGATAAATATTTGCCATCTTTCTACTCTGTACACCCGAATGTCCATAAGTGTGTAGATCTTTTAACTTCATCTAATGATACTATGATATGTACCCTTTCAACATATGTTTATCCTGCGATGTCACATAGAAACGGAATTGTTAGTTAACAACCACATCACCTACATGTAAATACGCGGTGCACTATAAGCCTGTGGCCTTTTAAGTACTGAATAAAACTGATTGACTGAGTGAGGCAGTTAGTTTTGGGGAGGACGGTTGCGAGAGAGATGGCGTGTAAGGGAGGGCAGTGCCGATTGTGTCAGATTGTGTAATGATTTCTGTATCCTGTGTCCACGGTATCATTTCTACATTACCAATGTCATGGCTATAGGCTCTCAATGTTTTTCATTTGGTTCACATTTTACTTGTACTTCAAGTATGCAGTCTTCGGGGGCTCTTCAATTACATCAAACCCGTCAATATCCGTGAAAGAATAGGTCTTCAACAACCCATATGCTTGGGTGAACCGGGATTCGAACCCACAATCATAGGTTTCTGGTGTGTCCAAGGGACGCAACTCTGCACAGCGAATCGCGGCGCCTTAGACGACTGGGCCTAATTATTAATAGTTTATGAGTGATAATGACATAGTTCCAGGACCTTATGATCATATATTGAATTGTTTCAAATTAAGAGTTTTAACATAATCATCAATAATTGTTATACCCCCGATCTAAAAGGGGTTAAAAATTATACCAAGGAATTCCTTCCTTCCGTCCGTTCTTTCGAGGACCTTTTTTGTGTGTGACCTATAACTTGAAAAATACTGCATAGATTCTTTTCAAGCTTGGTGAACACTCGTTACCTATAGGAGAGGTGCAGGTCCAAGTTTGATTTCAGTATTTGGATTTTCTGAAAAAATACAGCTCTTTTCATGTCTTTACTTTAACATTTGTGCGACCTATAACTTTTTTTCAAATTTAGGGAACAGTCTCCATACTAGTAGAAGAGGTGCAGTGCAAAGTTTGATTTTGATATGTGAGTTTTCTGAAAAAGTATAATGATTTTGATGTTGTGAACTTATAAAATATAGTTTTTACTTCAACATTTGTGCGACCTTTTACTGGAAAAGTAAATCATGAATTCTTTTCCAATTGGGGATACAGTTTCTATACCAATTGGACAGGTGCAGTACCAAGTTTGCTTTGAATATATTTGGATTTTCTGAAAAAAATACAGGTATTTCGCACTTGGAACTTTTTTTTCCTGAAGCATAAGTGCGACCTATAACTAGAAATTGTTGACAATCACAGAAGTCAATACAATAGGTAAACAATATGGCAACAGCACTAATTAACTCCTTGAAATAGTCCTAGAAAGAGCATGCTTGATTGTAACTCAAAAGTTGTGAAATGTAGACACTAAGTGATGGAGCTGCTGAAATATTGTGGAGATTCCATTACAATTGTAGGGAGGTGGTTGTGTGAAAATGTTCAGAATCGTTACGAGGGTCATAAGGTCTTCAACTCGCTTCCACTAAGGTGTTGATGCCCGTACACCATGTCCACAAACAGAAGTCTTTTGTTCGTAGAGTGACTTATGCGTTTTTCTCTTATGGACCTTTTTTTATTTTTAACACTCAGTACATATACGGTGCAAACGTGTATTTTCTATCACGCTATAAATTGTCCCAGACAATTCTTGAATAAATATTATTCTTCGGACTGTTGAATAAAATAAGAAATTGCCTGCCACCTAAATTACATTGTTGCAAGGTATTTTTCTTAAAAAGAATTTCGGGCTCATTGTTTTACATAAAACATATGTCTTGTTTTGTAGCTGTAGCTGTAAAATATCTAATTTGGAACACAATCGAAGGCGGGGAACTGATAAACACACAAAATCAACAATGAATCACATCGAATTAATATTATTGATTACCGTTGTATTTTCAAATAACGGCGGCAGCCACTTTACAAAATGTTATTTATATCTAATACTCGGTAATGATTGTTCCAAGTGGGGTGACATTTGATACATTTTGTAGCAGGGTTCAACATGTTCCGTTTTTCAGCACTTAAATTTGGACCTTTTGTACCCTTGCACTTCAGATCATGCTCTTACATTCTTACAAAATGCATTTACTCACACTATAAACACCGTCTCCTCACAATCCACAGGGCCAGTGAAGCTGGAATTTCACATCTTCTTTCCACAAAAGGGGGGAAGTTGGGTAGCCCAACGGTTAAAGCGTTCACTCGTTACGCCGAACACCCGGGTTCGATTCCCGACCTGGGTACAATGTGTGAAGCCCATTTCTGGTGTCCGCCGCCGTGATATTGCTGGAATATTGCTAAAAGCGGTATAAAACCATACTCACTCACTATTTTACTATGTGCATAGTGTCTGCAGTGGGGACACTTTTTCTCAGAGATTACTGAAGTGAGCTCATCTAAGAGTTCGAGAATTCACTCACTCACTCACTCACTCACTCACTCACTCACTCACTCACTCACTCATTCATTCCACAACAGGTGAAATTTGGTTCAAATAGTTCGAATCCACAAGGGATCCACATTTTAAAAAAAACAAACTATTAAGGTCCATTACTCTGTCATTTTTAATCAAAATGATGCTTTTGTCATCTTTGTAGAAAGTGCATGGTCAATTGTACCTCAACAGTTGTGAAATGTAGACACCAAAGACAGGAGCTGCAGGAATATTGCTCGACATAAAGGGAAAGTTTACTTATATTTGAAAAGTTGAAGTCATCCCTTTTGTCATATAGACTTGTAGTGAGTTCTTTTATCCCTTTTAATCTTTTTGCAGAGATCTAAATATGGAACGGACGAAGGTGAGTGAGTGAGTTGGGTTTAACGCCGCTTTTAACAGTATTCCAGTTATATCACGGCGTGTCAGTTTAATGTGTGAGGAAAGCCCGAAGTGATGCAGGTCTCAGACGTTTATCAGTTCGGTGAAACCCACGAGCACGGGTATGGTGCTGACAAACCTAGAAACATAATCGGGGTGAACCGGAATTCGAACCCACAATCATAGGATTCTGGCGTGCCCAAGGGACGCAACTCTGCACAGCGAATCGCGGCGCCTTAGACGACTGGGCCACCCGTGCCCCCGAACGGACGAAGGGGTGTCACTGGTCTCCTTGTTCTAGTTCAGGTAGATAAATAAAAGCGACAAAGCCTTTCCATATTCATAAATAATCTCGGCCAAGAACAGAATCGGTTGTACGACTCCGACTTTATCACGAGCATGTGTTTATCAATCACTGTCACATAGTGATGATACCAGGTGTTCGCGAAAAGGTGAGCGTATCCTGCCCCACCGGTGCCACCCGTCACAATGTCATGCAAATGCAAGTCATGTGTTCACCTGAAACAAAACACGGGAACGTACGCTACAAGTCAAACACGGAAACGTACGCTTCAAGTCAAACACGGAAACGTACGCTACAAGTAAAACACGGGAACGTACGCTACAAGTCAAACACGGGAACGTACGCTACAAGTCAAACACGGGAATTATATCGGACATCATTTATGTCACTCATGCGTCGAATTTGGAAATCCGAACTTCCAACAATCTTATCATACAGTCTTGTCATACAGTCTTGTCATACAGTCTTGTCATACAGTCTTGCCATACAGTCTTGTCATACAGTCTTGTCATACAGTCTTGTCATAAGGTCCAGTCTTGTAATACAGTCTTGTCATAAGGTCCAGTCTTGTCATACAGTCTTGTCATACAGTCTTGTCATACGGTCCAGTCTTGTCATACAGTCTTGTCATACAGTCTTGTCATACAGTCTCGTCATACAGTCTTGTCATACAGTCTTGTCATACAGTCTTGTCATACAGTCTCGTCATACAGTCTCGTCATACAGTCTTGTCATACGGTCTCGTCATACAGTCTTGTCATACAGTCTTGTCATACAGTTTTGTCATACAGTCTTGTCATATAGTCCAGTCTTGTCATACAGTCTTGTCATAAGGTCCAGTCTTGTAATACAGTCTTGTCATAGGTCCAGTCTTGTCATACAGTCTTGCCATACAGTCTTGTCATACGGTCTTGTCATACAGTCTTGTCATACAGTCCAGTCTTGTCATACAGTCTTGTCATAAGGTCCAGTCTTGTAATACAGTCTTGTCATAAGGTCCAGTCTTGTCATACAGTCTTGTCATACAGTCTTGTCATACAGTCTTGTCATACAGTCCAGTCTTGTCATAAGGTCCAGTCTTGTAATACAGTCTTGTCATAAGGTCCAGTCTTGTCATACAGTCTTGTCATACAGTCCAGTCTTGTCATACAGTCTTGTCATACAGTCTTGTCATACAGTCTTGTGGAATCCTTGTGTCTTCATGCATAGATCTAAATATGAAGGTGTCTCATTGATCCCTTAATTTCTGGTTCAGGGGGATAATCAGTGGAAGAGAATTGGCTATTTAATGGTTATTGAACGGTATCGGATCATCGATATACCTGACACTTAAGTTAAACTTCTTGGCCAAATTACGTTGTCTTGACCTTGCCAATCCGAGCAGGAATTCCGATTCATATGCATAAATAGACAAATCAGCAAGAAGGGGAGCGCACTTGGTGCCCATGGATATGCCAATTTCTTACCCAGATGTCTTACCCAAAAACATTTCACAATCTGGTATTATTTTCTCAGTAAATTTCAGATGCCATTTCTTTTCATTTTTGACAAATTGTCCTCCACCTCTGAAGATAGATATGTGCATGGTTTGTTTTTTGGGGGACGGGTACCCCCAACCCCCACTTCACCCCCCGACCCCCACCCCCATGTTAATAATGCAAGTTCTTATTTTAATACTTAAAAGCGATCAAACTCTGAAATGCCAATATGCAGGTACTATTATTAAATAGATTTCACCTTGTGTGGTGAAACAATTAATACAATGTTATCTTAGCATATTAGCAGATTTTTAATGAATACTTGGTTTCGAACTATGCCCAAAAAGAATAGTGTGTAGACAGTGGTGAATAAAAAAATAGTTAAAAGAAAATACTCAAACGTCAAATACTTTGTGTTTATAGTGGAAATGAAAAGATTGTTTGATTGTGATGGGTATATGAATAATTTGTTGGATTTACCAGGGAAAGAAATAGATTATTCTCCAAACAAATTCATACCAGCAACCCATGCTTGCCTTAAAAGGCGACTGTGCTTGTCGAAAGAGGCGACTAACGGGAACGGGTGGTCAGGCTCGCTGACTTGGTTGATGCATGTCATCGTATCACAATTGCGTGGATCGATGCGCATGATTTCAATCACTGGATTATCTGGTCCAGACTCGATTGAATGCAGACCGTCTTCATATAGCTGGAATATTGCTGGGTTCGGCGTTAAACAACAAACAAACAAACCTGCCCGCCACCATACAATATCAAATGGCTGTTCCCTACCTAAGTAGACAGAATATGAAGAATGGACAAGAAAAGGGTTCCTACGCGCCTGCAGTGAACGATGTTGTCTTTTAACGTATTTTATTGGCGCTTCATTCGATACGCGGTGAGGTGAAAATGTACACTCTTCAAAAAAAGAAACGCATAGGTAGATTTTTTGTAAATTTATTGTACCTAATATAGTCGATATATTTAATTTAACATCATAGATAAAAATATGAAATTTTGAAGCTCGATAGTCACATGTTGTCGCTGTACAAAGGCATAGAAAACTGTTCATTGTCATATCACGTAAGTGAGTGAGTGAGTGAGTTGGGTTTAACGCCGCTTTTAACAGTATTCCAGTTATATCACGGCGTGTCAGCTTAATGTGGGAGGAAAGCCCGAAGCGATGCAGGTCTCAGACGTTTACAACTTCGGTGAAACCCACGAGCACGGGTATGGTGCTGACAAACCTAGAAACATAATCGGGGCGAACCGGGATTCGAACCCACAATCATAGGTTTCTGGCGTGCCCAAGGGATGCACAGCGAATCGCGGCGTCTAGACGACTGGGCCACGCGTGCCCCCTATAGTCAGTAAGTATATTATAAGTGCCTATTACAGCGAAGGGGTGTGGTTGTTTTAAAGAATCTTCGTACCAGCACAATGTGTATCGATTTTTTAATTTTAATTCACGCACTGGTGCGTGCGGAAGCCTTTTAGGGCTAATTGTTTTGGGTTGTTTTATTCGATGGTATCTTGAAATTTTAAGATACTAAATTGAAATTTCAAGATACTAAGTTGAAATTTCAAGATACAACTTGAAATATCAAGATATTAAGTTGAAATGTCAAGATACAGAAGTTGAAATGTCAAGATACTGTCTTGAAATTTCAAGATACTATACTTCTATTTCAAGAAGTTGAAATTTCAAGATACAGAAGTTGAAATTTCAAGATACTAACTTAAAATTTCAAGATACTATCTTGAAATTTCAATTTAGTATCTTGAAATTTCAACTTAGTATCTTGAAATTTCAACTTAGGATCTTGAAATTTCAAGATAGTATCGAAAGAAAATAAAAAAACCAAATGGCCCTAAAAGGCTTCCGTAGGTGCGAGCCAATACGTCATCAAAAAACCTCCTACTATACTACCACCTCCCTGCCTGGAGTGTGCATGCAGTAATTGTTTGATGGTTGTTGTTTTCTGGGTGTGTTTTTTTTTATAAAACAGATCCAATTATTGTTTTGATTTTTTCTCTGAAAATAAGATCCAGAAAGACAATATAGATTAAATTGAAGTTGAGCTATTTTTTTTCCAAAGGCTAATTCGTAAGTTTCACTTTTATATTTACGTCGTGTTTCTTCTTTAGACCTAAAGCATTTGGAGATCTAGATCTGCATGACTAGCTTTATGATATTTCGTTTCTTATGTTTCAGGAAGTTCAATTTTATTTGTATTTTTCATTTCACTTAATCGCATGTAATTCGATTCCGTATGTATTAAGAATAGCTTTTAGTATCACCCACCGGATGTTTTGCCGGACACGTGCTGTCAAATGTCAACAGATCGAATGTGAGCTTGCAAGCCAGCTGACAACACGTTCAGGGCGATGTCAGACAGAGCCTTTCGCAACCCCTTCCCGGATTACGACGGAGAAAGTGTCCTGACTGAGGAGGGAAAGGTGACGACATAACAATCAGCTCATAATCAGCTGATAATGCTCATAATCAGCTGAGACAGCCATATAATTTAGCGACCACACAGCATTTGACGAGGCCCCAGCTACACTATCGTGCCTCTTTCATCCTTGGACTTCAGTGTGTTAGGGTAGCTTACTGGCTTAGGTAACCTCCAGCTCTACCCTTATCCCGTGGGTCCCTTTCCGATCAAGCAGGTACCCCTTCACGATCCTGGTGCTTGACAGGCCTTTACGACTATTGAAGATCCGGGGTAGAATAGGTCTTCAGCAACCCATGCTTGCTGTAAAAGGCGACTATGCTTGTCGTTAGAGCCGACTAACATGACTAATGGTATCGTTTATTCTGGCCAATTGCTTGGATTGATGCTCATGATATTAATCACTGGATAGTCTGGTGCAGGCTCTATTATTTACAGACCGCCGTCATATAGATCTAGCTGAAATATTACTGAGTGCGGCGTTAAACAACAAACCAACAGGCCTTTACGATACACGTTTCATTGTAATAGTGTTAGCTATCTCACCTCTTTTGATGAATCGTCAGAAGTAAGTCCTTACATGTTTATCCTTTTCACAAAATTTTGTGGCTACTACACAAGGACACATATATTTGTAAACACTTGGGTGATGAACACTCAGTAAGCATGCAAGCACCAATTATTTGTAGCAGCGCCCACCCAGCAAACAATTCTACGTTGTGACAACGTTGACTTTTCGTTGCTACAACTTTGTGATGTTAGTTGTGAGGTGAGGTGAGGTGAAATTGGGTTTAACGTCGCGTCCAAGATTATTGCACTTATATAGCGACGTGCATGCACGTGTATGTGTGTGTGTGGCTGCTTGTACTAGTCCGGACTGATGCCGATTTATAGTGCTAGCTCACTGAGATACCATGCCGCAGTTTAACATGAATACCCCACTCAGACACAGTATACTGACTCCGAGCCGACCAGTCCTTGTTTTAGCCCCTTAATGCCGAGCGCCAGACAGGGTAACAACAAGTACAATCTTTTAACGTCTTTTTGTATGACGCGGCCCGGGATCGAACCCCGGACCTTCCGCTCTCCGGGCGGACGCTCTACCACTAGACCACGGAGGCGGTCTGATGTTATTTGTACATCAGGTACCAAGCAATACATTCTGCAAACTGAATTCACTTTTAAAACCCTATCCATGAAACAGCAAGTCAATGAAATGCACTGTCTTTTGGCAGAGGACCGCGGCATAGTTTGAAATACGGCCAAGAAAAAAATCAAAATGTTTTTAATTACAAATGATATATAATTTGGTTCTGTAATATTTATTTTCAACAATTTTATCTGATGTCAGTCATTAAACTTTTAAAAGCCTCAAAAAGTGGGAAGATGGCATTTACAGAAATACCAAGATGCTCTTGTATCATACATAGGCGGAAAAGCTTTTAACATTAAATTGGCTTACTAATACCCCAACCTCGACTCCATCATATTTCTAAGTTCAAAACATAAAAAGGCAATATTTTCTCAGAAAATCCACTTATCGATATCAAACTTTGCACTGCACCTCACCTATTAGTATAGAAAGTGTTGAATTAACATTGTAATATTCAATATTTGACGGTTATCTGCCACCACGATTTTTTACCTGCGATGACCACAATTACAGGCCCTGGGACCAAAAAATAAATAACCCTGGGAGGAAGATAGTTCTTATGATTTTCATTTTATTCTGCTGTTGTGAAATTTGATGTCAGTAGAATGTAGCCGAAACAGTAATAAAAACTATGACTTGTTCCAGCTACCTGAGTCCTTCCTGAAGCAGGTGAGGGGCAAGATTGATGAGCTGCTCTCACGTGTGGAGGCTGCAGGGCCTGAGGAGGAGGACAGTGTCTACGTCGGGGGAGCAGGTAACCATACCATCAGTTTGTAATATTTATTAAATAAAACATCAATGCATCCAAATGTTTGGTAACCCTGATTTGTCATAAAGTCACTAAGTGTCATGAAAAGCAGCGATGCAGCGAATCTCGTAAGAAACACAGAAAATCAAGTTTTTTAAAACAGTAGTCCGGCAAAAGGTCTCAATGATTGGGTACAAGAAAATCCGATTGGGGATTGTTTTACCGGTGCCCTGGCAACAAATTATTTTGATACACATATAAAAGAACCTGATCATGCATACACTTAAGTTGACTGAAGCTTTACTCAAACAACATCTTCTTTTAATGAAACAAGCAGCCTTCTCTGCTCGTCACAAACCATCAGGTGTGTTGACTTCAACATGTTCAAAGGAAGAGCTGGGATAAGGCCAATTGTAAAATGTCAAATCTTAAAGTCGCTAAAACGCGTTCTTCCTTTTACATGATGCTTTGGCCTTCTGACATGGTCAAATACATATGCATGGCTAAAATGAGTGAAAAAACCCTGATTTTGCAAACTTTAAATTAGGGCTGGGGCGGGTGACTTGGGTACTCGGGTCTGGTGGTTCCTGCGTAGGACCCGTATACTCACAGGACTACCCGGACCTGTGGTTAGTCATATGATATATTGTTTAATGGCAAACATTATCTAGAACTTCCACATTTACACTATAAGTGACTTATGTTTGCATTTCTTTCTGACTCTGCACACATTCCTTCTGACTGTATATGTTTGAATAGAGATAAAACTTCAGTCAACTTCAGTTTGCAGTACCAGATCGTTTTATACAAGTATTTAAATACATTTCGCCAGGGCGATGGTCAAACTATTCCAAATCGGACATTTGAACCTATTTCTTGAGACCAAAGCGGATACCCGGGTAGGGTCGGGTAATAGGGGGATGGGTACCCGGGTAGTAAATTTGGACTCATCCCAGCCCTACATCAAATGGAAACTAAGTTTGTGATCTATGACTAATTTTACCGCATGCTTGTTCTGTTATCTACAGTTCTTATAAGACCCGTGAAGATCCGGGGTAGAAAAGGTCTTCAGCAACCCAGGCGACTATGCTTGTCATAAGAGGCGACTAACGGGATTGAGTGGTCAGTCTCGCTGACTTGGTTGATGCTTGTCATCGTATCCCAGTTGCGTAGATCAATGCTCATGATATCAATCCCTGGATTGTCTGATCCAGACTCGATTATTTACTGACTGCCATCATATAGCTGGAATATTGCTGAGTGCGACGTTAAGCAACAGACAAACATTTCCTATGATAATCATCTTGGAGCAAAGACTTGCTCATGTTCAAATGCTTCCTGAAAACCTTGAAGATCAGTCAATGAGTCTGACCACCTGATCCATTTGGTTACGACAAGCATAGGTTACTCGACACCTATATTTTACCCTATGTTTAATAAAACTCCAGTTTCCACCCTTGCCGAGCTAGGTTGCAATTATGGAGTGATGTTTTGGCTTGACTAACGAGTCTATGCATAGTCCAATCAAAATTGCGTAACAAAATCGACATCCGGTTCGTAAACTGCAGTACAGATTTTGGTCGATTGCAGGATTTTTCATGTTTTTAATCAAGGTGCTTAAGTGATTTGATGCACTTCACGGAGTAAGACCCATTTTATCACAATATAGATCTTGAATATCGGTCAGATCATCTGGACTGGGTGCTGCCATTTTGCTTGAAGCAAATGCAAGTGATACGAGAGGTGGAATCTGACTGGTCAATAGAGGGGACATAGAAGGGACATCACTGGTAATAGCCACTGGTGGCGCTAGGATCAAGCCCAGACATCCCAGCCTAGTTTGGCATGGGTGGAAACTGGACTTTTTTTCTTCTTTTTTTAATATTTTTTATTCAATCCAGTATATGACATTACAGAGTGGAAACTGGACATTGCACCTTCGAAAGCATGGTTGTCAATTTTCTTTTTAAAACTGCTGCACGTGTTAGAAATAGGGTGTTGACTAATCTCAGATCAGAGGCCTTGTTAATTTCAAACACTGCTGTGGCCCTGCATGTTGAGACTCCTGCTACTTTGCTGTACAAGAAGGGTATTCCTGGTCACATGCTACTTTAAGTCTTCTAGCCAAGAGGTATCACTCCATGGTTTCCTTTAAGTTACTGGAGTAACATTATGATGCAGACAAGGGCTGGGACGAGTCCAAATTTACTACCCGGGTACCCGACCCCCATTAAATGATCTGGCCTTCCAACACTGATCTTTACTCAAAACATAATAAAGTCTGAAGGAATGTACCTGTTGTCCGAGAGATATCCGAACATTAGCGATTTGTAGGTAACCATGGAGTTTTAGTACTGATTTTTTTCTCCTTAAACAGTTTATCACGTGACTAACCACGGGTCCGGTTAGTCCTGTGGGTACCTGGTTTCTACTCAGTAACAACCCGACCCATACAGACCTGTTGGATGTGTAGATAGTAGGAATCAGTAACTGTCTTTACAGGTAGGGCAGCTCTATACCTCCACCTGCACACGACGGTTGGTGATGGGAAGGGAGAGGAATACCTCCAGAAGGCTCTTGCCAACCTACAGCGCCCCCTGTCTTCCCTCAAGGGGAGGAAACTCTCCTTCCTGTGTGGTGATGCAGGTCCACTGGCCCTTGGTGCTATAACATACAGTAAACTAGGCCAGGCTAAGAAGAGTCAAGAGTGTTTAGAGAGGTGATGATGATGATGATGATCAGTGCTTCAGATGAACTGGGTGTCTGTGTTAAGTATGCAAACGAAATCCCCCTCACCCAATTGATTTTTAATCTTGTGAATATTTACCCAATATTGAACATATATCCAATAGCTCTAAAAATGATCTGCAGTACTCTGCAGTATTATGGCTATTGCAACAGCATACTTTAAGTCAGTCTGTCAACAATATGAAGCATTGCAGCTGGGGCAGTGTTTGAAAATAGTGCCTGCCCATGCCATCTCATGTCAGAACGTAGTTACAAATCTGTATGGGTCATTTTGGCCTGCAGCAAATTATGTGTCGATTTTTTATCACAATAATCTGAAGTTCCTGAGATGAGGGCCTGAAGAATTAAGTATGGACCTGCTGCTTCTAAAGTCTGGGGGCCGAATGGCAGCCTGGCGTTATTAATTTTATTTCAAACACTGAGCATGAAGTAGGGTGAAGTGAGGTGAAATCATCTCAAGGCCATTCATAAAAATGCTGGCATCACATGTGCTTTGTGTGAAATATGTTTTTCCTCTATGTTCAACTGCTTTATTCAAATGTGCTAGGTGGATTAATAATCAAAATCATCAATAAATGTTATAACAAATTGGTTTCACCATCTTGATCAGTAATATTTGCATAGTCAGATCCATCTGTTCAAATATCCCAGAGAACTGAAACAAACTGTCACAAAATGTTCAAATAACTTTTGACAAATTGCAAAATATCCAGAAACGTATTGTGTCATATGCAACTATGGTGTAAAGACAAAACAGCTTGTGAGGCACACTCTCAACACAGGTTTAATATTACTGAATGAAGGTGAGCTTCTGTACCTGTGCTCTGGTTATGTATCAAATCATGAGTATTCAGAAATACTCTATTCCAGGACTCCTACTATAATGTAGACGTGTCACAATATACGAGGGCTGGCTGAAAAGTTCTAAGCCTAAGTGGGATATCTCAATCGGATTAAAACAAACTTTTGCCACCAATCATTTAATGAATCATAGACATAAGAGCTGCAACTGTAGTGTTATTGTTATCTTTGTACCAGACCATCTTGTGAACCTACCCATTGAAATCACCAGAAATAGACAAAACTGGCTATAGGGCAGTCATCAAGTACCTGCAACTGAAAGGGCTAACTCCAACACAGATACATGCAGACATGGTCTCCACTTTAGGGGATGATGCCCCTTCCTTTTCCACTCTAAAGAAGTGGGCTGCGGAATTCAAGCGTGACTTCCACCTGTTTCCCCAAATGGAAAAGGAACTAGCCGGTCGCCACTCTCCTAGTAATGATGACGTCATTTCCGCTGTGAATGACTTTTTTAGGGTGGCTGAAGAAAATTTCTTCTTGACCAGCATCCAGGCCTTGCAGTATCGCTGGCAAAAGTGTGTAAACCTGGAAGGGGACTATGTGGAGAAATAAATGAAAGCCATCAATTTGGTACATGTCTTTCACAGTTAGGCTTAGAACTTTTCAGCCAGCCCTCGTATGATACGTCCCTGGTACATTATAGAGCCATTGGAGGTGTCATAACATACGATGACATCCCTAGTGCAATGTAGAGGTGTCATAACATACGATGACATCCCTAGTACAATGTAGAGGTGTCATAACATACGATGACATCCCAAGTACAATGAAGAGGTGTCATAACATACGATGACATCCCAAGTACAATGTAGAGGTGTCATAACATACGATGACATCCCAAGTACAATGAAGAGGTGTCATAACATACAATGACATCCCAAGAACAATGTAGAGGTGTCATAACATACGATGACATCCCTAGTACAATGTAGAGGTGTCATAACATACGATGACATCCCAAGTACAATGAAGAGGTGTCATAACATACGATGACATCCCAAGTACAATGTAGAGGTGTCATAACATACGATGACATCCGAAGTACAATGAAGAGGTGTCATAACATACGATGACATCCCAAGAACGATGTAGAGGTGTCATAACATCTGATGACATCCCAAGTACAATGTAGAGGTGTCATAACATACGATGACATCCCAAGTACAATGAAGAGGTGTCGTAACATACGATGACATCCCAAGTACAATGAAGAGGTGTCATAACATACGATGACATCCCTAGTACAATGTAGAGGTGTCATAACATACAATGACATCCCTAGTACAATGTTGAGGTGTCATAACATACGATGACATCCCTAGTGCAATGTAGAGGTGTCATAACATATGATGACATCCCTAGTGCAATGTAGAGGTGTCATAACATACGATGACATCCCTAGTGCAATGTAGAGGTGTCATAACATACGATGACAACCCTAGTGCAATGTAGAGGTGTCATAACATACGATGACATCCATAGTCAAATGAGAACATATTACCTCTGTCACAGGTTGGAGTTTCTCCACAGCAAGGTGCTAAATGATGCATCCATGCCAGATGAAATGCTGTTTGGTCGCACCGGATACCTCTATGCTTTGTTGCTCATCAGAAGAGAGCTGGGGCCAGACTTTGTCAACTCAGAGATTATTTCCAAGGTGAGATTATACCCGATGCATCATAGAAGATGTAGCGAGAGTTGTAATAATTTGTACTTTTTGTGTTAATCTCATGGAAAGTCTTCTCAAAAGTTGTCGATAAACCCTGCCTGCATGGATAGATGCTCATAATATCAATCACTGGTTTGTCTGGTCAAGACTGGATTATACTTACAGTCATTGTCACAAAGCTGTTATATTGCCGAATGCAGAATTACCCAACAAACACACAAATCTATCTTGGCACACTGTGCAGTTATCAGAAAGAAGTTCAATGTGTGTAACCCACAGGTCGTCCAAGCAGTGCTGGACTCGGGTCAGAGGATGTCCAAGGAGCAGGATTGGTCTCACCCCTTGATGTACGCCTGGCACGACAAGCACTATCTGGGATCTGCCCATGGTCTGGCCGGAATATTCTACATGCTCATGCAGGTGATGTGAAACGTTGTGTTCAAGAAGCACTTACCGTATTTGACGTAATAGGCGCCCAGGGTACTCTCAAAATTAGAAACAAGAGGCTCTTATTAGAATATTATTTTGGTGGAAAAAAAACCAGTTGAAAGATCATAAATTTCATGGTTTATTCTGACAGCCTGAAATCTTTATATACAGTAGATATATTTTTCACGAATAAGTAAGTCTTGTGTACATTGATCAATCAGAAGGGGTGCTAACGGGTATTGTTCACTAGCCATTATAATAGCAAATATTGCCGTGGGCGCTTATAAGAGCAGGGCGATTGTTACGTCGAATACGGTATAAAGCGACGTGCATGCACATGTGTAGCTGGTTGTACTGGTCTGGGAAAAATGACAGCTTTATAGTGCTTACCCACTGAGATACCATGCAGCATTTTTTGGATACCCCACTCAGGTACAACATGCTGACTGCAAACCGACCAGTCCTTGATGTTGTCTTCATAATGTTGAGCACAGGGCAAGGTAATAATAAGTACTGTCTGGGATATGGCACTGTTTAGGATTATCAAGCGACCAGTTCCCCGGGCAGACACTCCATCCACTACTCCATGGAGGTTGTCTTATGCTCATGCACATATACTGACAGCCAAAAGAAACTTCAAAAATGAAATTACGAAAATTTTGAAACACAAGTTCAAACTAAATGCATGCAAAATACATCGACAAAACCAGTCTCATTAAAATAAGATCTTAGTTTTCGCTACCGCTACAGCTAAACAAAGATCTGAGGACATCCCGTCGCCCCAGCCCCTGCTTAGGCCATATGGTTAGCGACAGACAGTGGCCAGGCGACTTAGGACTCACGGAATTAGGGCTGAGAGACCTTACAGTAGACAGTTATTGACAGCACAACATCAAGATTGAGGACGGCCAAGACTATAAGTCATTGGCAACGATGTGACTGGCAGAGGGTTGTCTGAGCTGATGAAAGCCGGTTCTGTCTGAGCTGATGAAAGAAGGCATGTTTTCGGCCAAAGAGGACATTGAATGGCAGCATGTTGCATTCAGAGTTCTTGCCATATGGTGGAGGGGGAGAATGGTGTGGGGAGGAATTTGTGGGCAGGGGAGAACACCACTGGTCATCATTAATTTGACAGCTGCCCGTTACATGGCTGACATTCTTCGTCCGATTAGGGGCGGTCGGGTAGCCTAGTGGTTAAAGCGTTCGCTCGTCATGCCGAAGACCCGGGTTCGATTCCTGACATGGGTACGATGTGTGAAGCCCATTTCTGGTGTCCCTCGCCATGATATTGCGAGAATGTTGCTGAAAGCGGCGTAAAACTATACTCACTCACTCACTTTGTCCGATTGTCCTACCATTTCTACAACAGCTGATACGCAGTGTCCTATATCAACATGTAGCGGCCATAAAATTTTAGAGTCCCGTGATGGGATTCGAACCACAGACCTTCTGATCCGAGGTTGGACGCCATGTCCACATGACCAAAGAGGTTAACCCCGTCAGCAAGCTGACAAGGTAAGACTGTCATCTGTGGGATGACTCCATGTCCTGCTACCATTTCCTTGAGATTTTGATCTTTGCAATACATTTTACTTCATGCATCTATCTTTTGTGTTTTTTAAACCTATGGTAAAGTTTCCTTTGGCCCCCAGTATATGATCAGCGTTGATGTTTCACCAATCTCTAGTGTAAGGGTGCTTTATGTGCGTACCTGATCAGACCAGACATCCAGACCCATGACCCATGTGGATTCCAGGTAAGAATTTAGGTCCCCAGCAACCTATGATTGTCGTAAATGTTTGCTAGATGGACTCGGTGACTTGGTTGATTGCATGTCATCTATCCTACTTCTGTGGATTGATACTCGTGTTGTCAATCACTGGATTGTCTGATCTAAACTCTATTAGTTACAGGCAGCCATCATTTAGCTGGAATATTGCTGAGTGCAGCGTTGAACAACAAACAAACAAAAGAAGGATGTTTTAAACATCATCAAAAGGACAAGGTAAGATAAGGGCCCTTCCTGGTCAGCAGGATCTCCTAATTTAAGAGACCCGTGAAGATTCCGGGGTAGAATAGGTCTTCAGCAACCATGTTTGCCGTAAAAGGCGACTATGCTTGTTGTAAAAGGCGACTAACAGGATCGGGTGGTCAGGCTCGCTGACTTGGTTGATACGTGTGTCAATATGTCAATCACTGGATTGTCTGGTCCAGACTCGATTATTTACAGACCGCCGTCATATAGCTGGAATATTGCTGAGTGCGGCGTTAAACAACAAACCAACCCACCTAATTTAAGAATTGAGCAAAATGCTTCAAACTTTTATGCATAATTTTTTGATAATGTTCACTCCCATTCAGATTTAGATTTCAGTCACTTACAAGTGAAGGCCCTCCCTTCACCTCCCTCATCCTTGCCCCTTCGTCTGCAGGTGAAAGATGCCAGTATGAGCAGTGCCCTGACGACACTGGTGAAACCCAGCATCGAATACATGCTGACACTTCGCTTCCCATCCGGAAACTGTCCCTCCTCAATCGGAAGTAGTTCCGGCGACAAACTAGTCCACTGGTGTCACGGAGCCCCCGGATGGATTCACATGTTTTTACTTGCTTACAAGGTACATTTAGACTGTAAACTGAAAACTAGGATTATTGTGCATAGTCTCCCCTGAAAATGTGCTGGGTTCTTCTCATTGCAATGCAAGCTTTATGGGGATTGTGTCTTGTTTGTAATGTGTGTGGCTGTTTCTATTTAAAGTGTGTACATAGTCCATAGTCTGGTTGCTCTCTGATGGTTTCCTGTAGTAGCCTTGAATTGGTCTTCAGCAACACGTGCTTGTTGTAATGACGGCTAATGGTATCAGGTAGTCAGACTCGCTGACTTGGTTGATGGATGTCGTCGTGGGTTTGGCCTTGGCGCAATGTGCCTTTAGACATATATTGATATTCCTATAAAGACTGAACGTTTCAGGAAAGAACATAGATTCCCAGCAACCTATGCTTGTCGTAAACGTTTACTAGATGGACTCGGTGACTTGGTTGATTGCATGTCATCGTTTCCCACCAAATTAGTGGATTGATGCTCATGATGTCAATCACTGGATTGTCTGGTCCAGACTCGATTATTTCCAGCCCGCCGTCATACAGCTGAATATTCCCGAGTGCAGCGTTTAACAACAATTAATACAAACCATCGATAAAGCAGCTGATAGGGTGTCTGTGTAAATGATCAACACATTCTGTCAATAAGATCATCTTTGGATATGTTGATCCAGACATTCGGGGATGAGCGGTACCTGGCGGCGGCCCAGGACTGTGCTGATGTCATCTGGAAGCGAGGTCTGCTCAAGAAAGGATACGGCATCTGTCACGGAGCAGCCGGAAATGCCTACTCGTTCCTGGCAATGTTTAAACTCACCAAGGACCAGAAATACTTGTATTGGGCCTGCAAGGTGAGGGTTGGACATATAGCAATTTCAAACATTTGACTTTGTGAGTTTGGTATTACACCGATTGATCCTGATTTTTCACACACACAAATTTGTATGAATCTTTATAGGCACTTAGAAGTTGGATGTGAACACAACAGGCTCAGGGTACAGAGGTTCACACACATGGTATATCACATTATATACCCCTGAGATCAACATTTATTCATACAGACCTTACGTGCTTGCGTGCTTGCGTGCGTGTGTGTGTGCGTGCGTGCGTGCGTGCGTGAGGCAGGGAGGGTGCGTGCGTGAGGCAGGGAGGGTGCGTGCGTGCAGGCGGGCGGGCGTGCGTGCGCTTGTACTAGTCCGATGCCAATTTATAGTGCTAGCTCACTGAGATACCATGCTGCAGTTTAACATGAATACCTCACTCAGACACAGTATACTGACTCCAAGCTGAACAGTCCAGTTTTTAAGCCCTAAAAGCCGAGCACCTGACAGGGTAACAAGAAGTACCATATTTTAACATCTTTTGGTATGACGCGGCCGGGGATCGAACGCAATCCGGGCGGATGCTCTACTACTATACCATGGAGGCAGTCCAGTGTGAAGTAGGAATATTTCATCTGACTATGTTTTTTTAGTCTTTCTTCAAGTACAGAGAGAGGGGGACACATTGTCTTCATTTGTACTTTGAGACAATAAAATGACATGAGGCAGGAGGTGGTAGTGAGGCGGAGTGTGGTAGTAAGGCAGGGGGTAGTGAGGCAGGAGGTGGTAGTGAGGGGGGTAGTGAGGCAGGAGGTGGTAGTGAGGCGGAGTGTGGTAGTAAGGCAGGGGGTAGTGAGGCAGGAGGTGGTAGTGAGGCGGAGTGTGGTAGTAAGGCAGGGGGTAGTGAGGCAGGAGGTGGTAGTGAGGGGGGTAGTGAGGCAGGAGGTGGTAGTGAGGGGGGTAGTGAGGCAGGAGGTGGTAGTGAGGGGGGTAGTGAGGCGGAGTGTGGTAGTAAGGCAGGGGGTAGTGAGGCAGGAGGTGGTAGTGAGGGGGGTAGTGAGGCAGGAGGTGGTAGTGAGGGGGGTAGTGAGGCGGAGTGTGGTAGTAAGGCAGGGGGTAGTGAGGCAGGAGGTGGTAGTGAGGGGGGTAGTGAGGCAGGAGGTGGTAGTGAGGCAGGAGGTGGTAGTGAGGCACGGGGGTGGTATTGAGGCGGGGATGTGGTAGGGGGCGGTTGTAATTAAGTGGGGTGTGGTTGTGAGGCAGAGAGAGTGGTAGTGAGGTAGGGGGTGGTGGTAGTGAGGCGAGTGGGGGTGGGTAGTGACGGGGGTTGGGGTTTGGTAGTGAGACTGGGGTGGTAGTGAGACAGGGAGGGTGGTAGTGAGGTACGGGGTGGGTGGGGTGGTAATGAGACGGGGGCAGGGTGTGTGGTAGGGGTAGGGAGTGAGGTGGGGTGTGTGGTAGTGAGGCGGGAGGGGTAGGGAGTGAGGCGGGGTGTGTGGCATTGAGGCGGGGGGAGTGGTAGTGAGGCAAAGAGAGTGGTAGTGAGGCAGGGGTGTGTGGCAGTGAGGCGGGGTGTGTGGTAGTGAGGCTGGGTGTGTGGCAGTGAGGCGGGGGTGTGTGGCAGTGAGGCGGGGTGTGAGGCGTAGGGGTGTGGTAGTGAGGCCTAGGGGAGTGGTAGTGAGGCGTAGGGGTGTGGTAGTGAGGCGGGATGTGTGGGAGTGAGGCGGGGGGAGTGGTAGTGAGGCGGGGTGTGTGGTAGTGAGGCGTAGGGGTGTGGCAGTGAGGTGTGGTAGTGAGGCCTGGGGGAGTGGTAGTGAGGCTGAGGGTGTGAGGCGTAGGGGTGTGGTAGTGAGGCGGGATGTGAGGCGTAGAGGTGTGGTAGTGAGGCCTGGGGGAGTGGTAGTGAGGCTGAGGGTGTGAGGCGTAGGGGTGTGGTAGTGAGGCGGGATGTGTGGGAGTGAGGCGGGGGGAGTGGTAGGGATGTGGTAGTGAGGCAGGGTGTGTGGTAGTGAGGCGGGGGGTGTGGCAGTGAGGCGGGGTTTGTGGCAGTGAGGCATAGGGGTGTGGTAGTGAGGCGTAGGGGTGTGGTAGTGAGGCGTAGGGGTGTGGTAGTGAGGCAGGGTGTGTGGTAGTGAGGCGGGGTGTGTGGAAGTGAGGCGGGGTGTGTGGTAGTGAGGCGGGGTGTGTGGCAGTGAGGCGTAGGGGTGTGGTAGTGAGGCGGGGTGTGTGGTAGTGAGGCGGGGTGTGTGGCAGTGAGGCGTAGGGGTTTGGTGGTGAGGCGTAGGGGTGTGGTAGTGAGGCGGGGTGTGTGGTAGTGAGGCGGGGTGTGTGGCAGTGAGGCGTAGGGGTTTGGTGGTGAGGCGTAGGGGTGTGGTAGTGAGGCAGGGTGTGTGGTAGTGAGGCGGGGTGTGTGGTAGTGAGGCGTAGGGGTGTGGTGGTGAGGCAGGGTGTGTGGTAGTGAGGCGGGGGGAATGGTAGTGAGGCGGTAGGGAGTGAGGTGGGGTGTTTGGTAGTGAGGCGGGGAGAGTGGTAGTGAGGCGGGAGGGGTAGGGAGTGAGGCGGGGGAGTGGCAGTGAGGCGGGGGGAGCGGTAGTGAGGCGGGAGTGAGGCGGGGGAATGGCAGTGAGGCGAGGGGAGTGGTAGTGAGGCGGGGGGAGTGGTAGTGAGGCGGGGTGTGTGGCAGTGAGGCGGGGTGTGTGGCAGTGAGGCGGGGTGTGTGCCAGTGAGGCGGGGGGAGTGGTAGTGAGGCAGGAGGGGTAGGGAGTGAGGCGGGGTGTTTGGTAGTGAGGCGGGGGGAGTGGTAGTGAGGGGGGGTGTGTGGCAGTGAGGCGGGGGGAGTGGTAGTGAGGCGGGGAGAGTGGTCGTGAGGCGGGAGGGGTAGGGAGTGAGGCGGGGGAGTGGCAGTGAGGCGGGGGGAGTGGTAGTGAGGCGGGAGGGGTAGGGAGTGAGGCGGGGGAGTGGCAGTGAGGCGGGGGGAGTGGTAGTGAGGCGGGGTGTGAGGCGGGGGGAGTGGTTGTGAGGCGGGGTGTGTGGCAGTGAGGCGGGGTGTGTGGCAGTGAGGCGGGGTGTGTGCCAGTGAGGCGGGGGGAGTGGTAGTGAGGCGGGGGGAGTGGTAGTGAGGCGGGGTGTGTGGCAGTGAGGCGGGGGGAGTGATAGTGAGGCGGGGTGTGTGGCAGTGAGGCGGGGGGAGTGGTAGTGAGGCGGGGGGAGTGGTAGTGAGGCGGGGTGTGTGGCAGTGAGGTGGGGGGAGTGGTAGTGAGGCGGGGTGTGTGGCAGTGAGGCGGGGGGAGTGGTAGTGAGGCGGGGGGAGTGGTAGTGAGGCGGGGTGTGTGGCAGTGAGGCGGGGTGTGTGGTAGTGAGGCGGGGGGAGTGGTAGTGAGGCAGGAGGGGTAGGGAGTGAGGCGGGGTGTTTGGTAGTGAGGCGGGGGGAGTGGTAGTGAGGCGGGGGGAGTGGTAGTGAGGCGGGGTGTGTGGCAGTGAGGCGGGGTGTGTGTTAGTGAGGCGGGGTGTGTGGCAGTGAGGCGGGGGGAGTGGTAGTGAGGCGGGGGGGGTGGCAGTGAGGCGGGGGGAGTGGTAGTGAGGCGGGATGTGTGGCAGTGAGGCGGGGTGTGTGGCAGTGAGGCGGGGGGTGTGGTAGTGAGGCGGGGGGGGTGGCAGTGAGGCGGGGGGAGTGGTAGTGAGGCAGGAGGGGTAGGGAGTGAGGCGGGATGTGTGGCAGTGAGGCGGGGTGTGTGGCAGTGAGGCGGGGGGTGTGGCAGTGAGGCGGGGGGAGTGGTAGTGAGGCGGGGAGTGTGGCAGTGAGGCGGGGGGAGTGGTAGTGAGGCAGGAGGGGTAGGGAGTGAGGCGGGGTGTGTGGCAGTGAGGCGGGAGGGGTAGGGAGTGAGGCGGGGGGGTGAGGCGGGGGGTGTGGCAGTGAGGCGGGGGGAGTGGCAGTGAGGCGGGGGGAGTGGTAGTGAGGCGGGGGGTGTGGCAGTGAGGCGGGGGAGTGGTAGTGAGGCAGGAGGGGTAGGGAATGAGGCGGGATGTGTGGCAGTGAGGCGGGGTGTGTGGCAGTGAGGCGGGGGGTGTGGCAGTGAGGCGGGGGGAGTGGTAGTGAGGCGGGGGGAGTGGTAGTGAGGCGGGGGGTGTGGCAGTGAGGCGGGGGAGTGGTAGTGAGGCAGGAGGGGTAGGGAATGAGGCGGGATGTGTGGCAGTGAGGCGGGGTGTGTGGCAGTGAGGCGGGGGGTGTGGCAGTGAGGCGGGGGGAGTGGTAGTGAGGCGGGGGGTGTGGCAGTGAGGCGGGGGGGGTGGCAGTGAGGCGGGGGGAGTGGTAGTGAGGCGGGAGGGGTAGGGAGTGAGGCGGGGTGTATGGTAGTGGGGCGGGGCGGGTGGTAATGAGGCGGGAGGGGTAGGGAGTGAAGCGGGGGGAGTGGTAGGGAGGCGGGAGGGGTAGGGAGTGAGGCGGTGTGTGAGGCATAGGGGTGTGTGGTAGTGAGGCAGGGTGTGTGGTAGTGAGGCGTAGGGGTGTGGCAGTGAGGCGGGAGGGGTAGGGAGTGAGGCGGTGTGTGTGGTAGTGAGGCGGGGGGGTGGTAGTGAGGCGGGAGGGGTAGGGAGTGAGGCGGGGGGGTGGTAGTGAGGCGGAGGGGTGGTAGTGAGGCGGGAGGGGTAGGGAGTGAGGCGGGGATGGTGGCAGTGAGGCGGGAGGGGGGTGGTAGTGAGGCGGGAGGGGTAGGGAGTGAGGCAGGGAGTGTGGTAGTGAGGCGGGGGTTGTGGTAGTGAGGCAAAGAGAGTGGTAGTGAGGCAGGGGTGTGTGGTAGTGGGGCGGGAGTGTGGTAGTGAGGCGGGGGTTGTGGTAGTGAGGCAAAGAGAGTGGTAGTGAGGCAGGGGTGTGTGGTTGTAAGTCTGCGTGTGCGCCAGTAAGGCTGGGGTGGGTGGGGGGGGAGGGTGAACATCTACTAATGGTACCACCACATACAACTAAAGTTCAGGTTTGTTAGATGATGAATCAGGTTGCTGTTGGTTGCAGTTTGCTGACTGGTGCTGTGACTACGGTACACACGGGTGTGGGACCCCAGACCGGCCATACTCTCTGTTTGAAGGTGAGTCTGTTTACTGCCATGTCAGTTGTACTGCACTTGGACAGACTTGTTTGGATTGGAAATTAGAAATTATAGGGTACTGCTGATAGAATGTTGGCGACTCCCAACAACCAAGTATATATATATATATATATAGAGAGAGAGAGAGAGAGAGAGAGGATATTTAATGTGTCGAGTGAAATATCATGTTTCTCTCATCGAGTGAAGGGGGCGGGGAAGGGGGGGATATTTACACGAGTAAAAATATCTCCTTTTCCCCCATCACAAGATGAGAGAATTATGATATTTCACGAGACACATGGAATATCATATTTATTATATACTTTTTGTGTTGTTGTCTCCTGGAAAATTACTTTATTTCATTAACACACAGGAACAGGTCGCCACCCCTTGTATTTGCGACTAAAAAAGTAGTTTTGTGTTTGCAAAATCATACAAAATATAAACAAAAGTTTTAAATATATATTTAGGGTTGCGAAAATTCTGCATTGTACATATAGATATGATTATATACAAAATCAACTTTAATAAAACATATTCTTGAAAACTTTGAGACCTGCTGCTCAAGTAACAAAAATGGCGCTTTGCGAAACAGTCGGTCTCGATTGACGAGTTAAGTGAGAAATTTACAGTTTATAGCGGAACATTTTCAAGAGAATAACAAATGCCATGAAGTAATGTTAACTCCATTAATTACACTCCGTCATTATTTTGCCTTGTCAATGTGGAACTAACATAAAATGGAAGTTAACAGTTTGTGAACGCGCCAGACACTTACGATAAAGGGAGACAATTTGAGGGGAGGTCACTCTTTTATGACACTAGTTCCGTCAAAGTGTTATATTCACAGCAGTGAAATATCAAGTGTTATGTTCAATGCAGTAAACTATCAATTGTTATGTTCACTGCAATGAAAATATCATTTTTCTCAACTTCTGAAGTACATATTAAAAATGGTCAGTACTTCAGTTCAGTGACATCATGTTTGGTTAATGTGCGAGGAAAGTCCAGAGTGATGCTGGTCCCTGATGTTTACGACTTGGTGAAACTCACCAACGTGGGTATGGTGCTGACAAATCTAGTAACATTCTGGGATTCAAACCAGTTTTTGGAAGTCACTATATGGCTGAAATAAGGCCGATGCGACATTAATTTTATACTCACCCAATTATGAAATGACAAAGGAACTCAACTCTGTGTAGTGAATTGCCGTGACAGGACCACATGTGCTCCCAGATTTGGATATAGAAAACCACGAGCTGTAACAATGTATTAGTTAAACTATCACAGTGTAAGAGTTGCGTCACTTTGGTACGCCAGTAACCCATGATTGTGGGTTTGAATCCCGGTTCACCCTGATTATGTTCTAGGTTTATCAGCACCATACCTCTGTTCGTTTCACCAAAGCAGTAAATGTCTGAGACCTGCATCACTTCAGGCTTTCCTCCCAAATTTAGCTGACACGCCCTGATATAACTGGAATACTGTTCCCAGCGGCACTCACTCACTCACTCAGTGATACCTCTCATTTGGACTTGAATCCAAATTGTCCAGTGAGGTTTCAAATGTATTCTTTAGAAGTATCAAATCATGATTTTCGTAGCATGTATATAATTATAGATATATGAAACGAAATTCCATTCACTTGATTAAACTGTTGGCACTGGTTGCACACCAAGACACCGACCATGTGTAGAATTCTCTTGCTTCCAGGAATGTCTGGCACCATCTACTTCCTCTCCGATCTCCAGGACCCAATCAGCGCCAGATTTCCTGCATTTGAACTCTGAGGATGGAGTATACGGTCAAGGCCTAATAATGTATAGTTTGGTGTAGTCACGATCTGTTTCTACACGGAGTCAGATGTTTCTATTGCCTGCAGTCCCTTTTCACTTGCTTGTATAGTGTTGAAGTGGAAGCTATGTAGACAGCCGTAGAGCTACTCATTGAGAGTAAAACGGTCTGTAAATAATCAAGTCTGCACCAAACATCTAGTGATTGATGTCATGAGCATGGATACACGCAATTTGGATACAATGACATGCATCAACCAAGTCTTACCATCCAATCCCGTTTGTGGCCTCTTATGACAAGCATAGTCGCCTCCTACAGCAAGCATGGGTTGCAGAAGACCTATTCTACCCCGGATCTTCACAGGGCGTGTACACTGTAGAAATGTGTGATCGTTGATCAGTACCTCAGAGACAGGTGAATCTCACCAGGGAGCTGGACATCTGGAACACACCAAGAACGCTACAGCTGACATCCAGCTTTCACAAAGTTGCATTTGAAGTTGTTTGAGGTTGTCTCTGTGCCATCGTTGATGTTGTTGTTGTTGTTGTTTTGTTGTTTGACGCCGCACTCAGCAATATTCCAGCTATATGACGGCGGTCTGTAAATAATCGAGTCTGGACCAGACAATCCAGTGATTATTATTATGAGCATCGATCCACGCAAATGAGATCGATGACATGCATCCACCAAGTCAGCGAGCCTGACCACCTGATCTCGTTAGTCGCCTTTTACAACATAGTCACCTTTTACGGCAAGTATGGGTTGCTGAAGACCTATTCTATCCCGGAATCTTCACGGGTCCCATAGTTGATGACTATATATTGAGTATATTGGGTTTTATATATCCATATGTCAAGACATGTACATCGCTCATGTGAGTTGGGGCTGCACACAAGATACAAATAAGAAGTCACCTGAAACAGCATTTCAAGCAGAGTTGTTGTTAAATAATGTCTACGCATTGGTGTAAAATAAATACATGTAGCCACTAGACTGGCCCTTGGCAGTAAATATATATTGACACTGAAGAATGTTTGATTCTGATTGAGCCAAATACAATTCAAAACAGGCATCAAATTCCATCCGTAAATAATCAAGTCTGGAGCAGACAATCCAGTGATTGATATCATGAGCATCGGTCAATGCAATTGAGCTAGATGACATGTGTCAACCAAGTCAGCGAGCCTGACCACCCGATCCGTTAGTCGCCTTTTACGACAAGCATAGTCACCTTTTACGACAAGTATGGGTTGCTGAAGACCTATTCTATCCCGGAATCTTCACGGGTCCATAGATTTGTTAGTCCAGCCAAAGACGTATATAATGGGAAAACGTGAAACACTTGCTGGTTGTTCAAGTCAGGGTTTTCTCCCAGACTGTGCCCTTGTCTTTCAAGACAAATCCAAGGACAACAGGGAATACGTAGAGAAGTGAACAAGGCCTGACTGCTTATAGATGGTGAGATAGAGATGGTGATTTGAAAACCTTGGTATTTTACGTTCATGATTTTTGCAAGTAGGAGGGGGTACACTGACATTTTTTAGTCGGGAATTAAAGCTTTATATTATAAAAGAGAGGGATTATGGAAGTTTTGAGACTACCCCTTTGTTCCGCGATGCCCTTCAGCTGTTATGTTTATTGCGCAGACCCCCTTGTAGCAACAGGTATTGAAACTCCAACAATTACAAGATAGTTTGTTTAACAATATTTTTTCTACATCATGACAATGTTTGCAATTTGGTGACGAGTTGGAATGGACAAAAACAAAAACTTTCATACCATTTAAGACGAATTGTTGCTTTTTTATTTGTATCTATTTTGCATTTTATCGTTATGATATTGCAACAAACAGAGCATACGAATTACTCCGGAAATTGTTACATCTTCTTATACCTAGATTTGAGGCCAGCGCACAGGTTAATGGCTAAAAATCCTGGAAAAAAGTTATCAAAACGACAACAAAAATAACAGCTATATTTATGTACATAATAATAATGACATGTAAGTTGTGGTTTGAGAAGGGAATATGTTACTTTTACGTTCTGATATTTTGACGATGAATCACTATCCCACAATGCAACTCACAAATCACTAACCACTGACAAATCACATGCACGTGGGTTTCAAGCACCTGTTTTCACATGTCGTCAAGGTGTCACCTTGATCTACTAACACCTGGTTATGTGGTTAAGCTCAGTTTCACAATAGTCTGTTTTGTTCATATTTTTACACACTTTTACGTGTAAAAAAGACATAAAAACCTTTGATACGCTGTATTTGTGCCAATGCCTAATTAGTACTAATTGAGTTGTTTGAATATTTATATATTTTGTATATTAACTGCATTTATTTTAACTCTGAGATCGAAAAAACAGGGTTTTTTTCATTTCCGTGAGTACTTTAGTATGCATGTCAGGAAGTGATGCGCCTGTTGCATACTCATATGCATTTTGCTCTCACTGTAAGGTACATGGACATGGGGTCATTTTGTTGATAACTAACTTCTTGTTGATTGGTGGTAAAACGTAGGATACAAATCTTAAGTTGCGTTCCTCATGAAATAGATCTAAATTTTCTCTGTAAATCAGGAAAGAATATACAACTCGGGTCGTGACCTGGATGTATGGGAATTAAGCTTGCTTCATATCGTATAAATCCGGAATAATTCAGCCATATTATTACAAGTTAAGACCGATTAACTTTACTATTATGAAAGAATCGGGTGTTCTTGAACTTCTTTGATTACAATGTGACCGAGACAAGCCTTTAGGAATAAGGGGACAACATTCAGTCCTCTACTACGATAACATCCAGTGAGAAAACCGCAATTTGTGCCCACTTTGTGAAAAAAAAGGAAATCCCTAAAATGATTCTGCAATCCATATAACGTAGACCGCACACTAAGGCCAAGTGACGTCCTGCTTGACACATTGTACCAATGTGGAGAATCGAACCAGGGTCTTCGGCGTGACGAGCGAACCCTTTAAACATTTGGCTACACCCCTGCCGCTTCCATGTGAGAAGGGAACAGTTGGATGTGACGCCGCTTTGGTCAGTATTCCAGTCACATCCTAGGTGATGCAGATCTTAGACGTTTACCACTTCGGTGAAACCCACGAGCACGGGTATGGTGCTGACAAACCTAGAAACATAATCGCGGCGAACCGGGATTCGAACCCACAATCATAGGTTTCTGGCGTGCCCAAGGGACGTCCTGGTGTGTGTCAGATTGCATGTGGGATTGTGAGATTGCAACTGATGAACGAATTTCAACGCTGGAGGACGCCAAGAGGACGACTATGCTACCCCTACCTGCACTAGATGAGATTACTTTCGAGTGGCCTTCTGGCTTTCATCATCTTCCGGAGGCAAGAGAGTTAACTGACTATAAAAGTCCAGTTTCCACCCTTGCCGAACTTGGCTGGTATTATGGAGTTACATTTTGGCTGGACTAACGAGTCTATGCAGAGTCGATCAAAATCGCGCAACGAAATCGAAATCCGGTTCGTAAACTGTCGGGCATTTGCAAAGCATGTGCACCGCAAACTCGTTGTCAACATATTTTCCACACCCTTTCATGTTTTTAATCAAGGTGCTCGCGTGATTTGATGCACCTCGCAATGTAAGACCCGGTTTATCACAATATAGATCTTCATTATCGATCAGATCGTCTTGACTGGGCGCCGTCATTTTGTTTGAAACAAATGCAAATGATGGAATCTGATTGGTCCATAGGAGAGGCTTAGAAGGGACATAACTCGTAATAACCACTGGTGGCGCTACGATTCCAGCTCAGTTCGGCAAGGGTGGAAACTGGACTTTTAAAGTCAGTAAACTCTCTTGACTCGGGGAGATGGGCTTTCATTAAAATGACGAAAAACAAAAATTAGCTCGGAGACGTTTACACTTTATTTGAAGGTGTTGCTACTGACGGTAGATTACTCATTCGGATGTAGAATACATGTTTTGCTCAGAAAGGAATTCTCAGGTTCATTAGGCTCTGAAGACAACAATTTCAAGGAACACATTAACGTTTACAGTTAATTGTAAACGATAATAAAAAAACATAACATAACAGCAAGAGTAACAGTATAGAAACAACAGCAAGAGTAACAGCATAGAAACAAGAAGCTTCGCAGGGAAGACGCCATCTTAACCTCTGCGGTATGACAGTGAAGGGTTCGACCTCTTTTGGGGAATGATCTTCCCGTTGTGCAAGGCCAGGTAAAGGTCAAGGTCAGTGCCTCGCATGATAGCTGCAAGTCGACTAAATCCGCTATTCGACATGATGAGAGTTTTACAAGTCGACAGAATATACTGATCCAGTATCACCTTGCCCATTGCCTCGCAGTTGTAGCGCCCTCTACCTTGGTCTATGTGAGTTATCGGCCCTTGTACTTCGCGGAAATTATTCGGGAATTCTTCCTTGAACCTTTGGCGAATTTCCTCAGAATCGGTTGCGAGAAAAAAATCTGCTTTTCTGGAATTTAAGCGATTTTTTACAAATCGGATCACAGAGTCCGGGCGAGGTCGCAAGGAGAGTGTTAAGTTAGAATCGCTTTTTAAGGTCTGGCTCTTTCCCATGCGCATGTGCGCGCATATCAATTGTCTTTGGGCACGTTTCAAGCTCGATTTAAAGAGTTGATACTGCTCTTTCAGACGCTTTGAATGTTTGAACAGTCGGGTTATGGCTGTTTGGTAGACGTTGACGAGAGGTTTATTTCTGGCCCACTGCACAGATCCTATTAATTTTTGTTTCATTAAAGACTCCAATATATCCACGTTGCCCCTATAATATATAATATCTATCTTGGATAATTTTTTGGCGTGTTTGTTTATTTTAGTGCCAAACCCAGCATTTCCCAAATGCCCTCTCTCCCTGGAGGTTTTATTTCTCAGTGCCATGGGGCTTATTTCCCAGTCGATCAGGTTTGGCTCAAGGAATGTGGAAAGGTAACAGGGAGACTCAAACTTTATTCCAAACCTCCTGCCCATTATCTCTGAAGCGACGTAAGCCGTGACGATACCGATCAGCCTGTCTGTAAGTCCTCCGCAGTATTTCCCACGCTGGCAGAGGTATATGAGGTACTTCTCGCGTTGCTCAGATCGACCTTGATCTTTCACATTCCTACTGGAATTGTGGGAGGTTATGGTCCTACCGGAAGCCGTGGGGATTTGAGATGCTGGTCTGTCGGCCCTGTCCCATGCGGCGTTGTATTGGATGAGTCGCTTCAAGGCACCATTCGGCTGAAACTGTTTTGCTCCACTGGCCTTGACCTTTGGCGGTAAAGGAAGACCGTACTGTTTGGCAAGCATGCCGAGGCTGCCGACAGTGATGAGGTAGACGTAGGTTAGTGATGCTACAGCGCACAGGTACCATAAAAGGTGCAACTCCGTCTGAAAAAGAAAACGTAAAAGGTGAGTGAGTTGAGTTTTACGCCGCTTTTAGCAATATTCCAGCAATATCGCGGCAGTGGATACCAGAAATGGGATTCACAAATTGTACCCATGTTGGGAATCGAACCCGGGTCTTTGGCGTGACGAGCGAACGCTTCAACCGCTAGGTGAGGTGAGGTGAAATAGGGTTTAACGTCGCGTCCAAGATTATTGCACTTATATAGCGACGTGCATGTACGCGAGTGTGTTTGTGTGGCTGCTTGTACTAGTCCGGACTAATGCCGATTTATAGTGCTAGCTCACAGAGATACCATGCCACAGTTTAACATGAATACCCCTGTCAGACACAGTCTACTGACTCCGAACCGACCAGTCCTTGTTTTAGCCCCTTAATGCCGAGCGCCAGACAGGGTAACAACAAGTGCCTTCTTTTAACGTATTTTGGTATGACGCGGTCGGGGATCGAACCCCGGACCTTCCGCTCTCCGGGCGGACGCTCCACCACTAGACCACAGAGGCGGTCTCAACCACTAGGCTACCCAACCGCCCCACGCCACTTTGAACAGTATTCCAGTTGTACACGTTGTGTCAGCTTAACGTGGGAGGATAGTCAGAAGTGATGCATGTGTTAAACATTTATCACTTTGATGAATCCATGGATATGGTGCTAACAAACCAAGAAACAATCAGGGCGAACAAGTGGTCGGCAACTCGCAATTTTGTCGCATTAATTTCATGATTACAGTACATCCGACAAATGTATACCCAACATGTTTAATTAGTGAATATGGTTTTACACTTTTAGAAATATTCCAGCAATATCACGGCGGGGCAACTAGAAATGGTCTTCACACATTGTACCCATGTGGGGAATCGAACCGGGCCTTCAGTGTGACGAGAGAACGCTTTAACCACTAGGCCACCTCACCACCTCGCACATGTTTAAATAACTATCCAATTACATACAAGTATATACTGAATCAATCGAACTTAATCAAACCAAATGGGTCACAGCTACACCGGATCAATTTCATTTTCTATACCGACCTTGTGTTAGTGGCTGGTGAGGTCACGTATAAACAGTCTGTTCCAACTCGTGTCATTATATGGATGAATGAATGAATTAATGAGTATGGTTTTACGCCGCTTTTAGCAAAATTCCAGCAATATCACGGCGGGGGACACCAGAAATGGGCTTCACACATTGTACCCATGTCGGGAATCGAACCTGGGTCTTCGGCGTGACGAGCGAACGCTTTAACCACTAGGCTACCCGACCGCCCCTTTATATGGCTGAAAAAATGCCGTCAATAACTTGAACACTGTAAGTGTCATAGACTGACACCCCCCAGCAGTACTCCTGCCATACAACGGCAGTCCGTAAACAATTGATTCTTGACCAGATAATCCAGTGACACGACCGCCCTTGAAACTAAAAGCGATGTTGATCTTAACTTACGTCTATTGCGTAATAGTGCAGAGATTCTGCTGCTTGTAAGCAAAGGGAAACGTTAAAGAAATATGTTCGTTTTGCAACACATTGGGAGGGGGGCGGGGTGTTGTCAGTTTTAATACGATTTTTTACGGTGTTGCTCATTTCTCAAAGCATGCATGTAAGGGGTCCATAAAAAGTCCTTATCACTCCTCGTCATTTGCAGAAGGCCAGAGAACAAACAACAGTTTTATCAACTTACTACTTTCATGATTTTCGCCTCCGGGTTCCAACAACGCATGGCTGCAAGGCAAAGGAAGTGTCCAGACGGCACTTGCAACAAACGGGCATGTGCACGTGAAGCACGAGATGCACGTGTGTACGCCCCTTCCAACATGATACATATTGCTCGATCTGGGCTGGATGGGTGTAACGTGTGACATTTTGATGTAGGATAAACGCATTCACTTTGCTCATTATGGTTTACAAAAGTTGAAAGAATGATCGATTTTTGGATGAGGAATACGGAGTTATAAACTTTATCGACTCGTGTTGATATATTTGAGTGAACATTTACTGACGGGGCAGCCATATGGAAAAAAAAGGTTACCGAGCCAATTGTGTTAAAAATGTAATAAATTTGGTAAATGTGCAGTTTGTCGCCGATGTTTTGTTTGACAAGTGCAGAGTCAATGAGTGACAGGAATGGCACGCCGGCTTTATTGACTGTCATAAACAAGCATTTATGTAAAATGGCCTTAGTGGTTAACATGTCTTTGACTTTTACGTTTCCTATACATCTGCTAATATTATAACTCCTAAACAGGTTTGATGAAATTTATACATCTGAAAGTTCATTTCATAACCCGAACTGCCTTCGATTATCCAGAGTGCAAAGATGCATCTCTGTATACGGAGTTGAGTCCCTTAGCTGTGCAAGGATCCGCTGGTTGAGGGTTTGATTACAGATCCGCCCTAATTATGATTCATACTTTTATGAGTACCACACTTGTGCTCGCGAGTTTCACTAGTGGGGCGGTTGGGCGTTCGTCTCACCAAAGACCCGGGTTCGATTCCTCACATGGGTACAATGTGTCAAGCTTCTTTCTGGCTGGGCGGTCGGGTAGCCTAGTGGTTAAAACGTTCGCTCGTCACGCCAAAGACCCGGGTTCGATTCCCGACACGGGTAAAATGTGTAAAGCCCATTTCTGGTGTCCCCCGCCATGATATTGCTGGAATATTGCCAAAAGCGACGTAAAGCCATACTCACTCACTCTTTCTGGGTGGTGTGATGCAGGGAATTTAGACCTTTATCGAAAAAAAAAGATCTTCTTCAAACAAATATGTATACTGTAGAAGGCGGAAAAAGAAAGAAATTGTCTGCCATAAAAAATAAATTGGTGCATAGTATTTTTTATAAGAAAGAAATTTTGCTCATAGTTTAATTAACCATCTAGTATCCATACAAAATTCCCTAGGTGCGCCACTTTGTTCTAAATTGCCTCATTAAGGGTAGATAGGCTCGAGTCCAAGGACATTTGATTCAAGACCCTCCAACATTACTTTGTCAAAGTGTTAAGTCTATTTATTTTAAGTTATATCAATACATCAATTAATGGTTACCCTAATTACACAATACTGTTTCAGTTTCAGTATTTTACATTTCAAGGAACTAATAACTAAAGTAGAGACGACTGAAACTTAATCCGGTTGAGAGAGCGCCACTTCCATTATACACAAGATCTTTTTACAACAATTTCAGTCCGGAATCCAGAGAGAAGGAAGTCTGAATTAGGCAGATTTTACTTGTTGATAAATGAATGCGTAAATACGGGACCGTAAATTTGGTTCGGTAGAGACAGAGAGATACGGATTAATCAGAGTCCGTTTGAGACAGCGCAGTCGGGTAGCCTAGTGGTTAAAGCGTTCGCTCGTCACGCCGAAGACCCGGGTGCGATTCCCGATATGGGTACAATGTGTGAAGCTCATTTCTGGTGTCCCCCGCGATGAATTTGATGGGATATTGCTAAAAGCGGCGTAAAACTAGACTTGAAAAGAGCGCCACCATTGAGCGGAGGAAGGTATCTGTTTATAGGGAATGCGTCATCCTAACGGTCTGCATTCTGCATATAAAGCACAGGAATACGCAGCTGACGTCCCGCGATGTTCCGGGTTAGAATAGATCTTCAGCAACCTTTGCCTGTCGTAAGAGGCGACTAACGGAACCGTGTGGTCAGGCTCGCTGACTTAGTTGATGCATGTCATCGTATACGAATTGCATGGATCGATGCTCATGATGTCAATCACTGGATTGTCTGGTCCAGACTCGATTACATACAGACCTCCGTCATAATAACTGAGTGTAGCGTTAAACAATAAACACAGAAACAAAACTATCAGTACAAAATTACGACTACTGCTACTCCGTGTAAGCAACTCAGTCATGCTGATTAGGATGACGTTAATTCTCTCTCTCTCTCTCTCTCTCTCTCTCTCTGTAATTAAATATATATATTATCTGTTACACCAGTGTCTCACATGCACCTGAAGTGGTCCCATTGTAAACCGCAAGTCATCATGTCAACAAAGTCTTAACAGTCATGGTTGATCGAGGCTGTGACACTCACACACACACACACACACACACACACACACACACACACTTAATACTTAATACTTAGTTCTTAATACTAACCCGTATCTTCACGGGTGGACAATGATATGAATACCACTCACCCACTCACTACTACCCCTCACTTGTGTAGTTTGATGTTCATGACGTCAATCACTGGATTGCCTGGTCCAGGCACGATTTATTTACAGACCGCCGTCATATAGCTGGAATGTTGCTGAGTGTGGCGTTAAACAACAAACAAGTACACAAACAAAATTATCACTACAACTGCTTCTGCTACTCAGTGATCGTGTCAGCAACTCCGATATATTTATAATAACCACACACACGCGCGCACACAGGCACACACGCATACACAAGCACGCACACACACACACACACACACACGCGCGCGAACACAGGCATACACGCACACACAAGCACGCACACACACAAACACGCACACACGCGCGAACACAGGCATACACGAACACACACGCACACACACACACACACAAAACTGACCCATGTACCCTGTGAACAGATACGTATTCTGTCAATATAAGTCACAAACAACACAACCTTCCTTTAAAAGTAGGACTTCCGTGTCCTCAAAGCGATGAGCACGTGTTTGAATTCCGACCATGATAAATAGGACAGGGGAGGCAACTCTTTCAGTCTTAAGCTCAGACTGACTTTCAGCTGAGGGTACTTACTGTGTCAGTGAGCATGTAAACACGAAGAACCAACAATGGCAACTGGTCAAGGAGATACTAAGTTTTATATCTGCTTTAGTTCGTAAGTACCATTTTAATAATTGATGTATTTAGTCATATAATATTCTAGTTTTTCCTTCAGTATTTGATCAAATAAAGCGTTTCCTTGTCACACGGATATAGTACTCTGACTGTGGTTGCATCAGCGCCATCTTTGCGTAATGGCAATAAATTAGTTATTTCTCGGCTTGCCGGAAAGTTTTTAAACAATTCGCCGAGTATTCATATTTTTGTTATCCAAAGACACTCCGGTGATATTCTAGTTATCATTAAAAAAACATAGTTTCATCCTTTCAGTTTGTAAACAGTGATGACCAGTGTCTTGTGTGTAAAAACTACAGCTATAATGTAAACTGGGGTCAGTTTTCGTGGGATAAACGGTCATGACCAGAAATGTTGCTGTCAAGTGACCGCGTGATTCTTGAAACATATCGTACACCAACTGCTTCCGACATGTTGTTTTGAATTTCGCGCTGTTATCAATGTGAAATGTGTTTTCCCGGTCGAGGTCGAACCTGCCGAAACTCGGTCCCAGGGCCCCGTTCCACAAAATGATCTTAGCGCTAAGATGATCGTAGCTCCCATACTTTAACATAGGCTTACGACAATCATAACACTAAGATCGCTTTGTGTAACAGGCCCCAGGACTTGAGTTCGTGGCCGACTGCCTTGGTCCAGTCGCGACAACACACCCCAGCTTCAGGGGCAGAGTGTTTAGTGATGTCATTTACTTGTGACGTCATGGTATACCCAATGATGTCACATTGGTCTGCAAAGCATTGTGGTGCATTTTCATTGTTGCGACGTCACGGAAACGATATGACGTATGGGAGCCAGTTTGGGATAATAATTAAAGGTCCGCCCGCTAATTCCCCTTCATCAAAGGGAAGCTACACGAGTCAACTTGTAGATCTATGTGAGGTCACGTTTGTTTTTAGTCTGCCTGAAGTCATGAAGTGCAGTCAGATGTACCCACAGCGCAAAATGAATCAGGGTAACAATATCGGACAATTCCCGACCCAAACCAGCGGGAATAGACCCCAAGCCGCAGAGATCTACAAGCACAGATATGGAAACTGCTCCCGCTGGTGTCCTCGCTAAATTGTTTCTCAAATTATATCTCCAAAATTGCCAAAATTTGTAAACTGCCTCACCTACGCCTCTGTTAGACTCTGATTTTCAGTATCTTAGACTATTATTTTTACTCGATCGCTTACTCCGAGACTTTACCTCCTTACACTGCCACCTTCTTCGTGTACCGGTACATATATAACACAATGGTTACATATTATTAAACATACCAACATCCACATTTTGCATGTAAATACGATAAGGACACAAAGAAATAAGAAGCAATTACTTCCAATGTTTTTTCTACCTAATCTTTCCTCAGCATATACATATGCCCCCACTCTCCGCGCTTCAACTTTACTGTTACACATAATAAAAAGAATGGTATTTAAACATAAATGATCTTTAAATCTTCGAAGAGGAGTATTCTTGTTGTTGTGAAACGGACAAGTAAGCTATTATTTTCACTTTCCACAGAGCTTATATTAAATGTATGAAGACTCGCAAAAAGATATCTTATCACATGTTCACCTTTACCTTCAACTTTACATATACAATAAACCGTCGAATCTGGTTGTTTCGAACCCCGTTATCTCGAATGTACCGATATCTGGAACCTTTACTCCCATCCCGACCGGCTCACTTTATAAATACACCCTTCAAAAAAAGAAACGCACAGGTAGAATTTTAGTAAATTTATTGTACCTAATGAAGACCTAATATATTTAATTCAATATCATAGATACAAATATATATGAAATTTTGGAGCTCGATAATAACATGTTGTCGGTGTACAAAGGCATTGAAAACTGTTCATTGTCATGTCACATAAGGCCACAAGGTTGCGCTGAACTCGTGTGACCGCCCTCGGCAGAAATCACGGCTCTGCATCTGCTCGGCACTAACTGTCCTGTGTACGAATTCTGTCCTGCGGAATTCTACGCCATTCTGCCTGTAACGCTT